AAAAAAAAAAAAAAAAAAAAAAGGCACAAAACACCAACTAAACAACAAAAAGTTCACAGCAACAAAATCGATTGCGCATTTTGACGACCTGAAAGCCCTGCCCCCCCCCGGACGGGATTTCACGACTACAACAGATCAAATCCCCAAGTCGTCATGTTTTTTTATTTCCTTTGTTCAACTTTCTGGGACGGTTGTCTGCAAGCTGGAGTGGGAGCTTATGCATCGCACCTAGACAGAGCATAGACGGGTACACGGGCGGCGGGACTATTCTTTGAGAGCAAGCAAGAATAGGTGTTGAGATATCGGGACATTATGGGACTTGGGCTCGGGCGGAGACCTATCAAGTGCTGAGCCGTCTCCCTGGCGTTTGGGGGACTTGTTAGGGTTATGTTTTTTGGTGCTATTTAACCCTTTTCCTCCTTTTTGTGAGGATGGGTTGGTTTGGCGTTGTCGGAACCGGAGTTTACCCATACAGTAGAGGTAGTAGACTAGGCCTTACTTGGGATCGGGAGGGGTTTGTGTATTTTATTGTTTAGGACTTGTAATTGTTCATGGCAAGAAACATTCGTGGAAACAGAGTCTTGCCTGTTTGTATTGATGGGAAACGGGTTGAAATATGAATACCCTGTTCACTAGCGGTCATCTCTCCTCTTTGTTGTGTGCTGTTTGATATGATCCCCTTGTAGAGCGGTCGTCTTTGTATACAACACCCATCAGATGTGATTCTCAACTAAACCGCCTGCTCTCCTCCCATTGTAATCACCTCTCTCATCTTGATAATTCCAGAATCCGGCTTTTCACTTTTTGCCCCGCACCGTTCTCCTCCTTTTCCTCCTCCCCTCTCCCGCCTTGCTCTCTCATTTCCCATCCCACTCAATCCTTATAAACCCCCCACCGATTCATCTCCCTCCTCTCCTCCTCCTCCCTCTTCCGATCACCCGTCAAATACACATACAACCCCGCCACCGTATTCGCCGCCCCCAACGCCATCGCCGACCCCCTCACCAGACCCCTCACCGAAAAGAATTTATCCCTGATCGTCGACAAGCCCAGTAACCGACCCCCTTGGTGGCGTCGACGAGAAGCGAGTAGAGTATAAATGCCGGACCACGCGGCTGTCATGCCGGCGCCGTCGGTGGGGAAGCCGGCAAGGGTCAGGTAGCTGCTGAAGGTGAGGAGGGGGGTGATGAGCATGGGGAGGGGCTGGAAGGGGCGGGCGTGTTGGGCGATTATTAAGGTTGTGAGGGTCATTGGGGGGATTGCGGAGGCTGGGGGGGTTAGTTTTTGTGTTTCTTGCAATATGAGGTTTTGAGTTGGGGGGTAGAGGTGGGTAGGTATGGAGGGTGAGATTGAGGGCGACTTACTACCCCAGGCCCGGAGCTGGTAGGTTAGGGAGACGGGGGACTTCTCTTCAGGAGGTGCCATGTTGATGGTATGGAGTGTTCTGTTCGGTTTCGTGGTGTTGTCCCCTCCGCCCAACGGCTCGCTCTCACAAACTTCAATCGCTAACTGGTTATTCGGCGCATCAACTTTTATAAGCAGTGACGTCGTACGGAAGTTCTTATCTTATCGGCCAAACTTAATGACTAAGCATCCGGTTTCTGCGGACCCCCAACCTGTGCCCCCACCATTTTCCCTGTCGGCGCAGCTGGTTGCACGGACGGCGAAGCATTCTGGAATGTGTTCATTGTTTGGGAACTGCACACAAAGGCCAAGTAAGACAGCTCGACCATCAGCATCAACGACTCTTCGAAACTGCGGCGTCGCAGGGACAATTGACCCTTTCTTCTTGTATTGTGCAGCAGGAGATACTACGGACACTCCCGTTTTGTCACGTTTGGCGGTCTGTCTGTCCTGTTCTGTTCCTGGAGAGCTGGAACAATTTTAGGGGTCTTGCGTGCCCAGACGGCGCAGAAGAGAAGACACGATACGACTTCCAACTTTCCGCCCAACCGCCGTTTGAACAACCTCCAACTATCTCTATCCCGACATAACCCACCGCCAGGGCACGATGCCCGCCTCAGCCTCCGCCTCGGGCGCCTCGGCGTCCCAAAACGACGCGCGCAACCGGCGCGAGCACAACCAAGGCAACCAAGAGCGCAAATACACGGTCGAGCAAAAAGCCGCGGTCCTCCGCATCCGCCGATGCGAAGCAACCGCCTTCTACGAGATCCTCGAGCTACAAAAGACGTGCTCGGACGGGGAAATCAAAAAGGCCTACCGCAAGCTCTCGCTGCTGACACACCCGGACAAGAACGGCCACGAGCATGCGGACGAAGCGTTCAAGATGGTGGCGCGCGCGTTTAGTGTGCTGGGGGATAAGGAGAAGAGGGATAAGTTTGATCGGTTTGGGACGGATCCGGATAGTCGGTTTGCGAGTGCCCAGGCGCAGGCGCAGCAGAATCCGTTTGCTGGGTTTGCGAGGAGACCCGGGGGAGGTGGGGGTGGTGGTGGTTGGGGGGAGGAGGAGATTAGTCCGGAGGAGATGTTTGCGAGGTTCTTTGGGGGAGGGGGGTTTGGAGGGCCGTTTGGAGGTGCGTGATTTCGTCTCTTTGCCCTTTTACTCCTTGCCGTGAAGATCTGATACTAATTCTCCGAGCACAGCTTTCGACGGCGGCGGACCACAATTCGTCTTCAACTTCGGCGGACCCGGCGTCAGGGTACACCAATTCGGCGGCGCGCGACCACGAGCACGCCCGCGGAACCCCGGGCAACCCGAGCCGCCAGCCAGCGCATGGAGCACCATCATCGGGCTCCTCCCCATCATCATCCTCATCCTCTGGCCGCTCCTCTCCTCCATCACCTCCGTCCTCACCACCCCCTCCACCCCAGTCACCCCCAGCATGGCCTTTGACGAACCCAACCCGCCGCTGTACACGATGGAGCGGACGATGCCGCATTTCGGCGTCAAATACTACCTCAACCCGGCAGACGTGCAGGCGTACAGCGCGTCGAAGCTGGCGTCGCTCGATAAGCGCGCCGAGGTGGTCATGGTGCAGGAGTTGCGGATTAAGTGTGAGAATGAACTGTCGCACAAGCAGCAGCTGCGGAATGCGGCGCAGGGGTGGTTTTTTCAGGATCCGGATAAGATGGAGGTTGCGAATACGTTTGAGATGCCGGCTTGTCGGAGGTTGCACTCGATGGGGGTATAGCGGGGAGTTGTTTAGATTTACTTTTTTTTTCGACTAGTTTTTGTTTTGGGGAGCGAGGGGAAGAGAATAATGTCTAGACCGTGGTGTGTGTTTGTGTATGGTATGTGTCATTGTTGCGTGTGTGGTACGGAAACGGTCTTTCTGATGATGTGATGCTGAAGCCGCCCGGCGTTGGGGGACGTTTGCATACTACGTACAGCGTGTGGGAGATACGTGGTTCATGTTCATGTATATCTGTATTCGGAGGTAGGCAGGAAGTGATTTGGGGTGACGCAGATCAAGATGCCCCGGTAGATTCCAGGACGCAGAAGCTGTCCATGTTACCATCACAATTCAACATTCAACGGCCATGACTTTCCAACCACACAATGAACAGATCCTGTCATGAAGTCTTCTTCGAGACGCCGTCAACTTCCAGCTGTGCTCGTAGAAGCTCAGGCTTGTGTCAGCGGCCCAGTGAAAGTCGACCTCGAAAGAGACCCAGGTCCAAAAACACCAAAAAAAAAAAGCCGCGCAATGCACTTCCCAAAAAAAGAAATCCTTCCAAGTCGTATGCAGCCCAGCTCTGCAAGGACCCTGTGGCAACTTCAACGCCTCTCTGTCACCTCACTCTGAACAACCACCACCCGAGCCACCACGCCCACCAACGCCCGCTTAGCCCGACCCAACAACCCCTGCTGCCCTGGCGCTGATGACGAGGCCCGCCCAGGCGGGTTTGTGGGCCCCGCCCTCGTCCGATTGGCTGGTGGGCGGGGATCCCCCGCTGAAACGAATTGCCCGTAACCTGCGGGCGAGCCCAGGAATGACGCGGGGCGGGTCGTTGCGGGCAAGGTTGGGGGCTTCGATTCGCAAGCTTCCCACCCGCAGTTGTTGTTCAGAGGTAAGCCTGAGGTGTGGAAGCTCTTCTTCTGCCCAGTTGATGAGGAATGTGCTGATTGCAAGATTCTTTTCTGCCCCTCGAGAGTTACTCGTCGTTCGTTTGCTTGAGACATTGGATCTTGGAGATTCGAGGTACAGCGCCCGAGGGAAGCTGTGTTGCCATTACGATTACGAACAAACCGTTGGCCGTTTATTCCAGCTTCCACGCTCAGAGCCTCGCTCCGATCCTCGAACTGCACCCAACATCGAACCGTTATTAGATCATCTCGACGACACGCACTGACGACGAAGCATTGCGAACCCGTTACATAATCAACTATAAAACCCAAATCATCCCCCCCCTTAGCGACCAATCGACCCATTTCAGGACCTCCAAGGTTGACAGTTTGACGGACTCGACTAGCCCCACCAAACATTTACGGCCCGGCTGTCTCTCTCGCGCGGGTCGAGGGAACGTCCTTCGGCTTCCTCTTTTCGAGCTCTAACACGCCACGCCGTCTCGCTTTCATCGTTTACTTTTTAGATCCGCAAAATGGTGACTCGAAAACCGCTACCAGCGTCCGCTGTCCTGAGCCCAGGCGCAGCCGCCTCAACACCATGGTCGCCGGAGAAATCCACCAGCGACGAGACGATATGGGGAGACAACGACGGAGCGCAACACCAGCATAATCCAGATGGGAACACAAATCTCGCGCCACCAAGCGACCTCAGTGCTCCCCGATCCGGCGGTCCGTCCAGCAGTTTCTCCAGCCTGGGCGACGAAAGCAATATCTGGGCCGACGACGTATCCGCGCTGTCGACCACAGTAGATGGTGATCTAGGCGGCCAAGCGCCACCGCGGGCGCTTCCGCAGGGGGATCATGGTAGCTCCGGCGCAGCGATATCCGGCCCGCCGCCCTCCAAACCGGAAACGAATCCCTTTAAAAGGAAAATGTCGCTCAGTTCGATGGGTTCGGCAGCGTCGGGCCAGCCAGCACCGCCGCAGCATGCTCCCCCACCTGTTCCGCCTGTGCCGGTTGCAGATTTCTCGCAGCTGAGTGTTAGTGAGCCGAGTACCAACCCGTGGCATCCGGCTTTGAAGGAAAATTCCACGGGTGTGAGCAGCAACGCAGCCGCAACACCGCCGAGGCTGCCGGAGCAGGATTCCACCGGCGGGGATAACGTGTGGGCGTCGTCTTCGGCTCGGCCCTCCCGTCCACCGAGTCCGGGGTTGGGCGCCGAGTCGCCTACGGTCGTGTCGATTCCGTCGGAGGAGGAGTCGGGCGGGGGCTGGGAGGAGGAACCGAAGAAACAGCCTTTGCGGACCGCTCCGATTCGGGCGGCGGATGGGGAGATTCTGGAGGATACACACGCCTGGGATGATTTGAGGAGTCTTGATAAGGGCAAAAATGCTGCTGCTGGTGGGCAGGCACCGCCAATACCGGGCAAGGCGCCGGCGGGGGGTGACGAGTGGAATCTGATCGATTTAGAACCGGCTCCGCGGTCGCTGTCAAGACAGAGTACATGGGAGAACTTTAAGGATGACGATCAGGCTGGGAAAGCGGCATCTGCGCCAGCACCAGCTCCGGCTCCGGCTCCGACATCAGCGTCAGGCCCATCAGCGGCAGAGCCATCGGCATTAGAACCCGCGACTGAGGAAGCTCCCGAATTACCACCAAGACACTCCAAGGAGTTGCCGCCCCCACCGCCGCGCGTCGTCGACGAGTCGGAGACATACCAAATCAAGAACATCAACTGGTTCGACGCAACAGCAGCCAAGAACCCCCGCACCTCCCCAATCCTCGTGCAAAACCTCAACGGACCCTGCCCCCTCGTCGCACTAGTCAACGCGCTCACCCTCACCACCCCCGCCGACAAGACCAACACGGCACTTGTAGAAGCGCTTAGGTCGCGCGAACAAGTCAGCCTAGGTCTGCTGCTAGGCGCCGTATTCGACGAGCTCATGTCCGAACGACGCGTGAAACCTGACGTGCCACTCCCCGACGTGACAGAGCTGTACGACTTCCTCAAGGGCCTGCACACAGGCATGAACGTCAACCCGCGGTTTGTGCCCACGCGCGAGGTCGTCACGGCGTTTAAGCGGACGTCTCTCACCCACCTCCACCCGACGGAGCGCACCGATCTGAGGATCCCGGGGACGTTTGAGCATACCAAGGAGATGGCGCTGTACTCGACATTTTCCGTGCCGCTGATCCATGGCTGGTTGCCGTCCCAGGGGAGTGACGGTGAGGACGACGGCGGCGCGGCCGAGGCACTAGCGCGCCAGGCGGCATCGTACGAGGACACGCAGAACCTGCTGTTCCGCGAGGAGGAGCTGGAAGCGAAGCTGTGCGATCCAGATCAGGGGTTGACGCCGGACGAGCAGCAGCTGTACCAGGACGTGTTGACGATCAAGGCATTTCTGAGCGGGTCGGCTACGCAGCTGACGCGGTTTGGGTTGGATGTCATCAAGACGGCTATGAAACCGGGGTCGGTGGCTATTTTGTTTCGGAACGATCATTTCTCGACGCTGTATCGACATCCGCAGACGTTGGAGCTGTTGACGCTGGTTACGGATGCTGGGTATGCTGGGCATGCGGAGGTGGTGTGGGAGTCGTTGGTGGATGTCAGTGGGGAGAGTGCCGAGTTCTTCTCGGGGGACTTTAGACTCGTGGGTGGCGCCGGTGCCGGTCATGGGCAGGGTCATGGTCACGGCCATCGTGACGAAGTGCCAGACAGCTGGGAAGACGCGGCTGATGCACAGGGTCTTGGCAGCAGCAACTGGACGACAGTGCAGTCCCGGCGCGGTCGTCCGCAGAGCAACGCCGCACGACTGAGCACCAACCACCCCGGAGGCGACACCCCCCTATCCCCAAAACACGAACAGGAAGACCGTGACCTAGCCCTGGCGCTGCAACTGCAGGAAGAGGAGGACGAACGCGCCCGACATGAGCGGGAGCGCCGCCGAAGGGAGAGCATGCTCTCAGAGCAGTTTATCGAACAACAAGGTCGGGGGGGTATCAACACCATCAACGGGAACGGCCGAGGCGGGCCAGGGATAATACCCGCCCGTTCGTCATCTTCATCTCTCCCTCCAGGTCCCCCTGGACCAGCTCCCCGCCGCGGCGCCCCCCTTATGTCCCCGGCCCAACCCTCCGCCATCCGCCCCTCTCCCGCATCCACCAACCCCCACTCTGCCGTCGGCAACATCGCCCCCTCCCGCCAACGCCCGCCACCAACCCAAGCCGTCCGCTCCCTCCTCCCACCTGTCCAGACCTCTTCTAGTCCCAATCCCAACTCGGGCCGTCCTAACCCCGGACCCGGACCCGGATCTGGATCTGGACCGGCAGGAGGAACAGCAATAAGACCACGCACCCACCGCCCCGCAGACAACGACGAAGACGACGCCCCGCCTAGTTACGAACAGGCCGCGAAACAGATGCCGTATGTCCCACCTGCTGGACATCCTAGTCACCACGCCAGTCGGCAGGGCAACGGGTCTGGGAGTGAATCTCCGAGGGTCGGTTCTGCTTCGGGGTCAGGGTCAGCAGCGGCAGCGGGGAATGTACCCCGCTCCACCCGCCGAACAAGCCAAGCAGGCCAAGGCCAAAGCCAAAGCCAAAGCCAGACCTACCAGGCAGGTCAAGGTCTCCGCAGCCCTGGCACCGGCGCCAGCCGAGCTACCACCGGCACTGGAAGTCCGGGCAGTGGATACAGAGGCGTCGACGGCCCCGGTCCCGCCGCAGCCGCCGGTCTAGCAAACACCATGCGAGGTGCCGGATTCGGCGGGTATGGAGCGGGTTATGGAGCCGGGTTTGGAAATGGATTTGGGAGTGGATTTGGAGGGGGGTATCGGAGGGGTCCGTTGGTGGGGACGGGGTCCGGGTTGGGGACGGCTGGGAGTGGGGGACACGGGGGGAGTGGGCATGGAAATGGGGGGAGTGGGAGGGGAAGTGGGAGGGGAAGTGGGAGGGGGGAGGATGGGGAAGAGGGGAGGGAGAGGGAGAGGGATTGTGTGGTTATGTAGGGGGGTTGACTACCGAGACACTACTTGAGAAAGGTGGAAGTTACTTGAGAATTGGGGGGGTTGAAAAGGGGGTGTGGTGTATGATGTTATGAGCTATGGACTACACTATCATGGGAAAGATATGGAGTATTGAGATGGGTTTCTTTGAATCGGGAATTTTATGTACACGGTGGTGCTATTTTACTACTGGGTTTGATGGGATAACTATGCCGAGCAGGGTGTGATGGGTTAAATAAGTTAAACTGAGCTGAGCCGGGCGTTCTATGTCTGGTATTGTCTGGTTTCTTTGTTGGTTCGGTTTTATTTGTTGTTGGTATCCTCCTCTCTCGTTTGGGTTTGTTGGAGAGGAACGGACCGAGGTGTAAGTTTTGTGCCTACAAAATACTCGAATTGCGAGTGTGGGGGAGAGTGGGATGGATGGATGGATAACATACGCATATGCAAGCTGGGCGGCTGAGATACCACTATACATGCAGCATGTTGAATTGTTGAATTGACGTTTGTCTAATCATGTGTCTGTCTGTCTGTCTGTCTGTCTGTTCTAACGGTCTGATGTGGGAGTTGATGGAGGTGGGTGGTTTGGTGGGGTTTGATACACAAAGATACAACACACAGCGAGAATTGAGGGCAAGCAGAATCTGTTAAATGTGTTGAACATGGAGCTCGGGATATTCAACATCCAGCAGTATGGGTGTTTTAGTGTTCCATGTGTCTCATTGTTCCACGGTGTTTTTTCGAGAGAGGAAAGTGTCAGAGGAGGGCTAGACGAGAAGCACATACATGGCGTTAGAGTTACAGTGACTTGGGATGAGATGATATTACAATATTTGGATATGGTCAACCATGAATCATTTTATAGCTAGTGGACATGCCGAGACAAGCTGGACGTGCAGAGTGAATATCACTGTATTGTCATAAATACCGTCCTCAACAATACCGTCCTTACAAATCTCTCCGAAGCATACTCCTCACATCGCTGCTCGACTTACTCATCTATACAGCCATGGGACAGTCGAGAAGCATGGAGCAAAATGGCGAAAACTAAATAAAGAAGAATGAAACAAGGAAAGGGAAAAGGGGCGTACAAAAAAGTACACAAAAGCAGGGCCAGAAGAAAGGCCTGAAAGTGGAACCGAAACGGGGCATCGGAAAGCATCGGAAAGACATTAAAGGGTGCTCGAAGCAAGACTAAAACAGGGAATAAATACAAGGCCAAGAAGAAAAGCCCAGAACTTAGGCAAGAGAGAACGGACGCCCAAGATTTGCTCCAAACATGTCGTGAAGACGAATGTATATTGCTACAGCATGTTAAGACCCTTTTATACTGTCATACAACAGGAATCGAAAGCTCGCTGTGCGCAAACAGGGCGCCGGCCTGTTGTTCGTTTAGGCAGTATCCAACTCGGTACACAGCTCAACCGACACAGTGATTGTTGGGGGCTGTTCCTGAATAAGGGGTATATGGCAGTGGGCATATTGCCCTCAGGTTGATTATCCGGGTTATTGTCCTGAGACGAAATAATTCTAGCTGCCAGTTTGCTACTGCAGCATCACTCGGTTTTCAACGGATTGTATTTAATGAGTTAGATTTGTACAGAACATGTCCATGTACCTGGTTTCCACCAAGTGAATCCCATGATACATCTCCCAACCCCCATTATTCTCCTGCTCTCTCACTTTCCACTTCCATCCACATAAACATCACCACCACTACCACACCCCCGGAATAACCGCCCACCTTCCACGGATCCGCTCCTCCCCAAACTTCTCCGCATACCACTTCCGCCCGCTCACAGCCCGCGGCAGCATCGCGGCAATCTCATTCAGCACAAAACACCGCGCCGGCACACACCCCCAGCCCGCCGCCATCCAAAACCCAAACCACTCCACCCACTCCACAAAATAGTGCGGATACAGCATCACCTTGAACAACCCCGCCTGCGGAATCTCATAGTGTTTGTCCACTCCTTTCCCAGCCCCCTTTTCACTCTGACCCTGTCCCTGATTCGGACCCGGCTTCCCATCCTTAGCAGCAACCTCCCTCGCCCTCCGGCCCGCCCGCCTCCTAATCTCCCTCAACTCATCATCATGATAATAATTCGCCGCCAGCCCCACATAAAACACCCCGAGTCCAACCACAAACTGGACCATTCCACCTCCCCAACCGCCCGGGAAACTCAACTGCGAGGCCCACTCCGCCTGAGTCGTCGGCCCGTACCCGCCCAACCAAGCCCCCAGCATCAGGCCGTTGACAACCTGGAACCCGGCCCCCGCTACCCAGATGACGATGTGTAAGGGGGACATGGAGGGTTGGAGGAAGGGGAAGAGGAGGGCGCGGTAGGTGTAGTGGAGCACGAAGAGGAAGGCTAGGACTTTGTTTTGCCAGGGGAGGCCTTCTTTCTCTAAGATGGGGGAAGTGGACGAAAAGAGTTGAGAGGGGAGAGTGGAAAAGGTGTAGAGGAGGGTGAGGAAGCCGGGGGATTCCATGGTCAGCCAGCCGATGCGGCCGGGGAGGTTGAGGCGGGAGGTCACGGAGGTTTTGCCCATGCCGTACCAGGGGATTGCCCATTGGAGGGAGGCGAACTGTTTTTGTCCTTTAGTATCTTCATTATAGAGAGTGAGAGGGGGAGTGCTGTGTTAGAGAGAGAGGCAGAAAGAGAGACGCACGACAGGAAACCATTTCCACAGCGAGAGAATCAGTTCATAGTTCTCGCGGGTCGGCGGGTACCAGTTGGGGATGAGCCCGACGGTGGCCATGGTGTGTTTCTGAAAGCTGAGGTTTAGAAATGTGGCCGTTTCCCGAACAGACTGAATAAAAACAAGCGCCAATTGCCACGTAACAATCGGATCCGAGTCCGATTAGTTATAAACTGAATGCAAACCTCTCAAAGAGAAGAGTAAAAAGACCGCCGCGGTGAGGACAAGAAGAGGAGAACCGCCCGCTCTCCTCAATGCTACCTTTTGCAGCCGAGCACCAAGTCAGTTACCGCTGGTTGCCGTGAAAAAAGTAGTCAAATGGCACGCTGTGATCCGAGCAACGACGAATGATGTCAGGGACGGACCGGGGATTTTGGTAATGTACAGATACGCAAGATGTAAGATACCGTATGAGAAGGTTGGGAAACCGAACCCGAGGGACCCCACCCCCGCAAGGTCGGAAGAATAGACTGGATTGGGAAAGGATCTGTGGTATAGATAATGTTGGGAACTTTATATTTCTCTAATGCAGTGACAACACGGCATTGCATCTCTGCGGCGGTAGAAGTTCTCACGGGAGGGACAGAACCGAGGATGGTTTACTTCATTCAACTCGTCTGAACAGTACCGTCAACAGAGATCCCGACATCCCGTCAGCGCCTAACCTCTGATTTCTCCAATAAGTTACGGGATATTCCTGATAACACAAAGTTCACACCCGCTAGAATGATGCCTGCTCAGGTCTTCGTAAAATCAAGCATTGAACTTGTCGATAACGTTATATAGGTCGAACGAACCGAAACATAAATCCGATGTTTACGTCCCGTCGTCCACTGAAATGATGGAGCAGACAAGTACCAAGCCTCAAGATTTACTCACACCCGGCTCCCGAGTTGGCCCCGAGTTTAATTGAGCATCATCAACCTCTCTTATGTTCAGTGTTATCACCACCATAGCAGCCTTACACCACCATCTCAAAACCATCACAACACCATTACAACAACACCGCAGCACAACCCAGCACAACACAGCACAACGCAAAACTCAAACCCATACGAAGCCGAGAAGTCCCAAAACCAGAATATACATTAACAGTGGGTGGGGTATATACCTCAGGTACTATACAGTTACTGTATACACACACAACCCCCACTGCATCATACCATACCACCCACCATACTACTAGTTACTGACGACAGGCATGCAATGGTTCAGCTAACTCACACACTCACACATACACACACGGCCACACCACCCACAGTCACCCACAGTCACCCACACGTCAGACACAGCCACACCTATCATGAACGACCAAAGGGGAAAAAAAAATTGAACAAAATAAAAATAACGCCGTTTCCATGCCCTCTTGTGCTTGTTGTTGTGCTTGTTGTGCTTGTTGTGCTCTTATGATTTGTTTGGATCCGTTTTCCTTTCGTCCCTCTTCCAACCTTCCTGCCTTCCGCCCATTTCCTACCGTCGTTCACCCCTCCTATCCTACCCTCATCCATTTCCCATCCTTATCCCCATCCATTCCACCCCCATCATCCCATCCATCTGTCCATATCATCACAATCACAACCCACCGCCGTGTCCACATCCTCCATCATCAAAATACTTCAATCATAAACAACCCCATCAGAGACCACAACCTACTCCTTCGGATTCGCACTCCCCGGTGGCGGCGGCGCAGGCGGAGGAGGCGACGTACTCCCCCCTGACCCCGCGTCCTCCCCACCAGCACCACCCGGCCCCGCCGCCCCAGCCCCCGGTGTAAACGGCGGCACCGGCGGCACCGGTACATCCCCAGGCCCACCAGCCGGAGCCTCCGGCTTCGGCACAGCCATCGGCCCGGGCGGCGCCGCAATCCGCCCGACTAACTTCTCACCGCGCAGGACTTTCTCGACTTCCGATTTATCGAGGGTTTCATACTGCACCAGAGCCTGGGCGAGAAGGTCGAGTTCGCGGCGCTTGGCGACGAGGAGGGTGCGGGCGCGGGAGTAGGAGTCTTCGAGGACTCGTTTGACTTCGGATTCGACCATGGCGCGGGTTTCGGAGCTGAGTTTTTCGTAGGAGCGGAGGTATTCGACGGGGCCGAGACGTTCGGACATGCCGAGTTGGGCGACCATTTGCCAGGCTGTTTGGGTTGCGCGGTCGAGGTCCTTGAAGCACAATTAGCATTCGTGAAGGGACAGAGGAGGAGATGAAGGGGAAAGGGGGAAAAGGGGGAAAAGGGGAGAAAATGGGGAACATACACTGCTGACACCGCTGGTGACCAACTCGTTACCGTAGACAATCTCCTCGGCCACCTTCCCGCCCATGGCGCGGTCAATAAGACCGAGATAATCCCTCACGGTATACGAGTGCTTGTCCATAGTGGGCAGATACGCGGTGTGGCCGAGACTGCGCCCGCGCGGCAGAATCGTAACCTTGTACAGCTCACCGGTGGTGTCGCCCGAGTAATAACTAACAATGGCGTGGCCGGCCTCGTGGTAGGCCGTCATCTCCTTCTCCTTGGGGGTGATCACCATGCTGCGTTTCTCGGCGCCCATCAGCACCTTGTCCTTGGCCCACTCAAAGTGTGATTGCATGACGGACTGGGCCTTTTGCTTGCTGGCCTGCACGGCGGCTTGGTTGACAATGTTCTGCAGCTCGGCGCCCGAGAGACCCGAGGTGCGGCCGGCGATGGCTACAAAGTCGACGTCGGAGCCGAGCTTGATGTTCTTGCCGTAGTGCTTGAGGATGGCGATGCGGCCGCGGACATCCGGGAGGGAAACAGTGACGTGGCGGTCGAAGCGGCCGGGGCGGGTCAGGGCCTTGTCGAGGGACTGCGGGAAGTTGGTGGCGCCCATGACGATGACGCCACTGTTGGAGGAGAAGCCGTCCATCTCGGTCAGGAGCTGGTTCAGGGTCTGGCGGATGTAGGTGGCGTCGCGCGAATTGCGGCGGCCGCCGATGGCGTCGAGTTCGTCGATAAAGATGATGGAGGGGGACTTGGCCTTGGCCGCGTTGAAGAGCTCGCGCACGCGCTTGGCACCGACGCCGACGTAGATCTCGTCGAACTCACTACCGGACATGTAGAAGAAGGGCACGCCGGCCTCACCGGCCACAGCACGTGCCAGCAGCGTCTTGCCTGTACCGGGGGGTCCTACCAGCAAAACACCTTTGGGAAGCTTGCCGCCGAGGTCGCTGAAGCGGTCCGGGTTCTTGAGAAATTCGACCACGTCCTGCAGCTCTTCCTTGGCCTCATCGCAACCGTGGACGTCGGAGAAGCGGGTCTTTTGCGTCTTGGCCTTGGGGTCGATGCTGTCGACTTTGCCGGGGCGTCGGTTGAGCGAGGCCATGTTTTCGACGGCGAGAGTGATGACGACGAGGCCGATGTAGGCCGTCAGACCAAACCACAGGAGGAACTTGATCCAGCGCATGAAGACGTTGCCCCAGGTCTCGTCGACGATGACGTGCAGGGCGCCGTTCTTGCCGATTGTGGCGCCGGTCGAGAAGGCCGTGTTGGTGCCTGCCTGGTGCGCCGCGACGGCCTGGCCGACGGCTTGGGCGCTGCTGGGACTGAGACCGGTTGCTGTGAGAGTGGGATTGCCGAGAGAGGGGTTGCCAGCGCCGGTGCCGTTGATCATGGTCAGTGCCTTTTGGTACGCCGCATCGATGACCTCGTTGGTGGCAAAGCGGCCTATTTATTCGTGTTAGAGTACATATCACAGAATGATACAAAAATAGAGTAGACAGAACCCACCAGACTGATACCGTTCGACCACAATGGCCGGCATGTTCGCCTTCAAGAGCAACTGATAAAACGAGTTCTGCGCCGTCGCACTGTTCGGGTTCCGGTTCGCCGACGCCTCACGGTTGGCCAGGAGATCGCGCGAGACACCGCCAGTGCCAAAACCGCGGTATTGCCCAAAGCCAAAAGTACCAGTAGACTGCCATTGTGGGGTCTTGATCCAAGAGAGAGGCTGCATGCGGCTCGGTTGATAGGTGCTCATGGAGCGGAAGCCGAAGCCGGGAAGAGACGTGGTCGATTGTGTGGTCGTCGACAGTGGGCGGGCCACCAGTGCGGCGTAGGAGCGGCGCGTCAGGGGGTTCGCCATGCTGAGCGAGCGCGGGGACATGGTCGAGAATTCCGAGAAGAGGTTTGTAGACAGGGCTGATGCAGGAGTGGAAGCGAGGCGGGGGTCGAGGAATCGCGACGACAGTCCGGGTTGAGCGGCCCGGAGGAAGTCGGGAAGTTCGGTCTTGGATCGGGTCGCGGGGGGGTTCGACGGGGTAGCCGGGGCATCGAGGGCGAGGGTTGTTGAGGGAGATTGTGATACCGGGGGAGAGGGAGTTGGAGGGGCGTACGATACGCCTCGCCAGGGGATGAGCAGCGTGTTCGCAACCGACGGCCACAGTTCCGTGGTCGCCGCCGCGATGCTCTATCTGATGTTAGCTAAGAAAATATATATAGGAAACTACAGCAACGTACCGGCAGCCCACTTGCGTGGAAAGCCATATCGAGTGCCGCGTGTGGGCTACAAGAGGGTGAGTCCAGCGACGGAATCGTGGGATGCAGAACGCAAAAGCCAGATGATGCAAGCCGCTGAAGGCCTGGAATGTTGGGGCGACGGCCCGGCTGGGCTTGGCAGAGTGGCGACCGGACCCACCCCGGTTTCGCAGGCCCCGGTTTCGTATGGCACGTGACCTGGCGTTTGCGCGTCGCGTCTCAAGCTCCACTCGGATTTTACGTAGCGAGTCTTGGAGGCTAGTTCAATGGAACGAAACTCATCGAGCAACATTCTAACCCTCCGGACTTTTTTTTGTAAGTTTTCTTTGCGGAAGAGTCGCGTTCCGATACTTTGCCCTCGTTGGGTCGCATTAAACCCGAGGCTCATTTTGGTCCCTTCTTATTTTTTCAATAACCATTTAATTCTCTTCTTTTCCCTCTATTTCGGCGTAATCCCACCAGAGTAACCAAAATGAGCCGCTCCCTCGAACAAACCCTCCTCTCCCTCCTCCCAACCCACAACACCGCCCTCCTCCCGGAACCCCTGACCCTCCTCGCCAGCTCCCTCCTCGCCCAGTCCCGCCACCGCGCCAGCACCCTCAAAGCCGAAGAAGAAGTCGCGCGCCAATACGCCTGCGCCCACCTGGCCTGCGACCGCCTCAAGACCGTCCTCGACCTGCCCCCCATCGACCCGCGTCCGCCGATCCTGCCGCGGATTTATAAGCGGTTGTATAGTCATCTTGATCGGATTCTGCCTGCTACGGCTGTCACGCCGTCATCTGCGCGGAATTCTCCGGGCGGTGCGTCAGTAGTAGGGAGTGCTGGACGGGTGCGCACCCCGGCGTCCAAGTTGCGGGAGCAGTTACATGGCCGAGGGAATCATGGGCAGCTCTCACCGCTCGCGGGGAAGTCAACAGGGAGGAAACCCGCCGAAAAAGAAAAATCTCTCGCCGACCTCCGCGGTACAACAACCACAACCACAACCCCCTCTAAACACAACCATAACACAACAACATCACCAACAACAACATCACAGAGTAATTCTCCCCTCCCCCGCTGGATCCTCCCCACCCTCCGGCTCCTCCTCATCCGCGTCGGCCCCCCCACCATCGGCCCCGTCGTCGCCTCGGCCCTCGAATCCATCATCACCCCATCCTCATCCCTCACAAAGGACGCCTGGGTCCTGGATAACCTCCCCGCTACGCTGGGGGCGCTGTATATCTATGTCTGGCGTGGCGTGACCTGGCCTTCACCCTCTCACAGCAGTAGCGAGGACGGGGGGGAAGAAGAAGAAGAGGTGAGTGTGGATCGGGAGCGGTATGTCAAGTTCAGGAAGGAGGTGGCGTTTTGGATTGGACGGGCACGGAGGGAGGTGGATGGGGATCGGAGGAGTAAGGCTGCACGGGAGGAGCGGGAGAGGGAAGGGGGAGCCGGGGGGGAAGACAGATGGGAAGGGTGGAGGGAGGTGGGGGTCAGGGAGCTGGATGCGGCGGCTGTGAGGGGGGCGGAGAGCGGGTGGTTTTTGATGGAGTGGGTGGATGGAGTGGGGGATTTGGTGGAGAGGGAGCGGGAGAGGGTGTTGGAGGGGGATGAGCTGGGGAGTGATGATGGTGAGGAGGAGGAGGGTGGTCGGGAAGGGGGGCGTATTCGGAGGGTGGACTCGATGTTTCGGGAGGAGTATGATTATTTGAGTGAGCGGAAGCGCAAGGCGTATGCTGCGTGGGAAGAGGGGATATTCAAGAGGATCAAGGCGTTAGAGGCATAACCCCATCTCTTATTTCTGGGCTGATCTCCCCTGGGTTAATTCCCCAGCCAAGAATCTATCTACTCACCAATCTTCTTCAAACTCACCACAGTATCAACCACGCACTCCTCAAACCCCCTCCACTTAATCCCCAACACCTTCTCCGTCTCCTTATTATCAAACTTAAACCTCTTCCCCTCCTCAGGCAACTCCCCACCCTTGGTATCCTCCCTCGGCGCCCGTTCCGCCTCCTCCGGAAACCTCCTCCTCACAATCTGCCCCAGTTCCGCATTACTAAAAAACCCCGCCGTCGTAAACAACCTCTTCCCCCCGGCCTCCTTCACCTCCAACCCAGCCTTCACATGCGCCTCCGCCACATCTCTCACATCCACCCAAATAATCGCCCCTCCCGTCGTCGGCACCTCATCCCTCCACTTCCCCCTTAACACATCCACCACCCTTGCATTACTCGTATTCACCCCCTCCCAACTCGCCAGATAATGCACCACCGGCCCAAACACCATCGGCGGGTTGATCGTCACCAGATCAAACCGCACCTTATCCTTCTCCCTCTCCACAAAATCCCACGCGGCCTTTTCGGCGAGTGTCTTACTCGCGCGGTAGGCTGAGGCCGGGCTGTCGTGGATTTGGGCGAGGGTGATGGGGTTCCAGCTGCGTTCGGAGAAAGTGTGCTGGGGGTCGGAGAGGTGGGCTTCGTCGAGGATGGCGGCGAAGGAGGAGGTTACGACGACGCGGCGGACGGTGGGGGAGTGGGCAGTGATGGCGCGGAGGATGGAGGTTGTGCCGGTGAGGGCGGGGGCAATTAGTTCTTTTTGGGGGTCGGCTAGACGTTTATTAGTACTAAATAACCTAAGCAAGAAGAGGAAGATAGAGAGGGAGAGAGAGACATGGTGGAGAGAGAAGGGAAAAAAGGACGAACTAAAATTAAAATGAAACGGCGAGGCCGTATGCAAGACCACCTCCAACCCAGGCGTCGTCTTGACCACCTCGTCAAAGGCGTCTGGCTGCGCAATGTCGGGGACAATAGCGACCGACAGTTCGCCCGAGGCCGCCTGCGACGGGTACGCCTCGCGGATCTTGGCTGCTTTGGCCTCGCTGCGGACTGTTGTCACGACAGTGTGCTTTTTGGCGAGGAGTTGGTCCAGGATGTGGGCTGGGTGTGTTAGTATACATAGTAGACGTCTCATGGTTGAAGATCTCGAGCGTGGGTATTGAAAGGGATCACGTACCGGCAATGAAGCCGGAGCCACCTATCTCTGTTAGCTTATTGTCTCGTATGAAGTCGATCCAATTATGCCACTCACCAGTCAAAAGAACCTTGGTCATCTTGTCGTTGGTGCTTAACCTCACAATTCAATCTTCAATATTCGTATTCGTTCAGGATTCAAATGTTCGTTCACAGTTCAGTGTAATATCCAAGTTCCATTACTGCTCCACAAACTTTGGTCTCGACCCATCTTTATATGTCCCCAATCCTTGGGTAGCTTCAACCGGAATAAATCTATCCCACCCCCAAGACAACCCAAAACCCACTGACAAATCCCCTTTTACGATTCTGATCCGAGACCCCCCGGGACTAAACGCCAACCCACATTCTAACGTTAACTCCAAACTCCAGTACCCCTCTTAAGCCCGAGAGCCCCTCCACACACCCCAACAATAACCCCGCATCGCCCGCATCACAACCCCACGTACTCGCGAAGGTACCGGACAGTACCCGCTTTGCCCCTCCATGATTCAAGCAGTCACCTCTCAAGGTGGTATTCGCCATCTTGCGGTGTCTCTTCGCCATTCGACGCGATTGAGATAGGTCGTAACGGGAAATGTTTCTTTTCTTTTCTTTTCTTTTTTTTTTTTTTTTTTTTTGAAAGTCGGATTATCTACGGTATGCTCTGATAGTGGGAGAATCTGAAAGCGTTGTAGGGTCGCAGCTTGTTTGTTCATCTAGGTTAGGATATAAGTCGGATGTTTGTTGTTCCAGGTTATATTAGATGTTTTGTAAGCCTACTTATGCAACCGCGTCCGCATTGTCCTCCGTACATCGTACCCCGGGGTTTACATCTAGTCGCAAACAGAGCCAGACAGATTCAGGATCAGGATCAGGATCACCGTCAGGGGTAAGTTCTCATTCTCAGGTTCGGTTCGCGCTGTTTAGGTCCGTTAAGTCCGGGACATCCGTGTGTGTGTACGTGTATGTTCAGACGAAGGTAGTACTTCAGGATCAATATTTTGATTCCTCCTCTCTTCGACATATTGCATGCATATATGCATGTATGCATGTACATACCTGATCCGCATGGGTTGTAGTAAATGCAGACGGACGTAGTTGGGCCAAGCGTATTGAATGCGGAGTGAGTGCGTTTAACCTGGCCCAGACATATTCCAGTCATCCCACCTTGAAAATGTCACGACAAACGAATAATTTATCTTTTGAGGATAAAGTCACCGAAACAAGTCATAAGATTTGTGAAATAATCTCCCCTACAATATAACAACACACAACGACTGGTCGTGTGCTTTATTCCCGACTCACAATGATCAGGTGCAATTACCAATCCATGAACCCCCTCACGTATGAAGGAGACCACACATGGCGCCAAAACTGACACAAACAACACAACACACACACACATCATCACATCTCCCCCAATAACCAACATACTGATCAATCGATCAATCCTATTTCTCAGCTCGAAAAGTACCCTAACCCACCACATACATAACAAGGAAACAAAAGAAAAGCAAAGCAATAACCACCCGACCCATAGTCCCTACCCCAACTCCCAATCAATTCCCGAGTCTATGTGAGGTCATAGGTCCCGTCCCACTACCAAACTCGCAGTGCAGTGTATTGGGGTGTAGTGCAGTGCAGTGTAGCAAACCAAGTTCATGTCTCGCCATCCCGTCTTTCATCCTCAGTCAAAGAAACCCAGGCTTAAAGCCATACCATTCCCCAGACGAGCCACACGCATCGGGGCGAGAAAAAAAAAACCCCTACTGCGTAGTATCCATAACATCCCCCACAGCCGCCGCCCTCTTCTCCGCCTTCCACGCCTCAATCCTCGCCTTCAACCCCTCATCCGGCACAACATCCTCAATAGTCATCGGCTGCCTGGTATACGGATCCTTCGGATCACTCAACAAATGCTGCATAATCGTCGACCGATCCACCACATGCTTCGACGGCAACACCACAGGGTCCTCCATCAAAATCCCCATGATCGGGTCCTCAAACTCCGCGGGGGCATCGCTGAAGTCCGCTTCGGCGCGGTCTAGCGCTTCTTTGGCTGATTCGATCTGCGCGGCTAGCACATCCCAGGATTGGATGTCTTTTTCGTCTTTGAGATGCTTGGTGCGGAGGATGTTGGCCGTCGTGGCCATGGTGGCGGGGTTGTAGGAGCGGCCGTCGGCGGCGACGGCGCCGATGAAGGAGGGGGAGGAGCCGAGGTTGAGGTAGATGTCGACTAGCTCGGGGAGGAGGGTTTTGGGGTTGAAGTAGTACTTTTCTGCGTTTTCGACCTTGAGGGTTTTGGATTTGGGTCCTGTTAGGATCTCGAGGTTGTAGTCCAGCATGCCGGCTAAGCGCTGCACGATCTCGGGCATTGTGAACGACTCGCTGAGGGTTGTGGTGAACAGCTTCATCATGCCGACTGTTTCGTTGGCTAGCTGCATGTAGGACGTGGCCTGGTTCTCTGCCGTGTGTAGCTCCTCTTCTGTTTTCTCGCGGTCTTCCTGGGATAGGTTCGGGTCTCGCAGTCGACCTTGCAGGTCGTGGATCTTTGGGAACTTACTCAACCCTTCGTCCAGGACGTACGTTGCGTCGTTCATCAGCAGGTTCACAAAGCGTACGAAGAACGAGCGGTTCGATCTATCAAGATTAGCGCCTGCCACCTCCATCCATACCCCGGGAAATAAGAGTCCCAACTCACTTGCTAGACTGAACCAACTGCTGCCGATACACATCATTCGTCCAGACCGTCTTAATAACCTGGAAAATCTCGTATCGAATGTTGAACTTGTCGTAAAACGCCGAGCTCACCCCCGTCGACTCGCACTCAATGTAAAACTTCATCACCGCATGCAACAGGTAGTCGTTCGCAAACTTGGTGCTGGTCATGAGATCTCCCAGCACCCCCTTCTGCAGATGATACGTCGGCCACGTGCCCTGGAATAGCAGCGTGACCAGCGACGACTTCAGGTACGGGTTCTTGACGTACTCGGACGACTCCAAGAACGTGATGCACAGCGCAATCATCTCGTCGCCCGCAGCGGAGAGCACGATCTGCGGGATGTAGCGGAAGACAAATTTGAAATTGTCCACCACGTCCTGCAGCGCGTACTCGGGCAGGCACTTGAACGCCTCGGGCTGCTCGGCCGCCAGTGGCAGCTTCAGCGGCTTGTCGGGGGTGTACTCGGTCTGGCTGGCCACACGGAGCAGCCACACCGTGACGTACCGCATGAACTGCAGCGACCGGCTCTGCATCTTTTGCTCCAGTAACACGCCCTCGACCGAGAACTTCATCGCCATGACCCGCTCGAGAAGCAGGACGTGGCGCTTGAGCGCCGCATCCAGCAGCTTGAGCTGGTCGGGCCGGGCGAGTAACTTATGCCGCTCGGCTTCCATCATGGCAATGTTTTTCTCATAGTGCTTGATGTCCCGGTCGAAACCCTTCAACTTCGCATTGGCCGCCTCGCTGCCATAGTGATGCGCCGCCAGCGTGAGGAAGAAAATCTCGGTGATGAAATTGGATTCCCCATCCAGCTTCTTAGCGTAAAAAGCATCCGACTGCGCCTGGTCCGCATTCAGCTTGGTCTCCTCCTTGATGTCGAGCCTCGGCTTTCTCCGGAAGTAGTCGACGTCAATGCGTCCCACCTTCGAGAACGTGCTGTCCATGAATGGCTCGCACAGCGTGTCGAGGATGACCGTAACGTTGACCATGAACCCGTCCGACGAGACTTCCCGCTGGTCGACTTGCAACCCCCTGCGTTTCTGGTTGGCGTTCATGATATAGGCAAACCAATCGAGCACCTTGTTCCTGGCCTGCGGACTGGCACGGATAAAGGCGTTGACGACCGTCTTGAGATCCGACTGATGCGCCTGTAGAGTCATCTGTAGAGCACTCTGCGACGTTTGGATGCGCCCCTTGTCCATCGTCCTCGGCCCCGCAAAGTAGACTGTCGTGACCTCCGGCTGGAGCGGCGATATCCTAAAGAAAGGTCCCAGTATGGTGTTCTTCTCGATGCCTGGCGCAGATTGGGCCATCTGGAAGCACGGATGTTGGGCGACCGCGTTGAGGAGAGGCGGGAACCTCGAGTATGTCAAAAGGGCCTAGTTGAGTCTGTCAGTATGTAACCCCTTTTTTAACTGTCCACCTCTTGCAACTACTCACATTGACACAAGGCTTGTAGTCGTCATTCATGCTCAACGTAGCCAGCTTGCTCGAAATATCCGTCATCGCCTTAGTAAACAGCGGCGCAATCGTGTCGTCCTCTTCCAACCGCGCCACGGCTTCCCCAAAGAACTCCATGCACAGTCCATTGTCCGTGTCAACCTCCCGAAGCAGATACGGCACGAGGGTATCATGAAGCGGGTTCGGATCTCGGCTGTCAAATACCACAGTCAGCGCTTTTCCACACCAGACTCTCACCCAAATCCATCACAACTCACCTAAACAACTCCGGCACCGTCAAAGCAAAGATACAGTTGCTAAAACACAACCGCCTCGCCTCCTTCAACAACGCCTCCTTCTCCGGCGCCGGGCCACGGAACAACTTCAAAATCCGCACCACCCGCTTCCAGCACGGCAGCAGGTACTCAAACAGCGGCCGCTCATGCGGCACCGCCGTCGCCGCCTCCATGATCGCCTCCTCCAACCTACCAACAGACAACTTCAGCCCCCGGCCCAGTCCTTCCTGTCCTGTACCCCCTTCTTGCTGCTGTTGTTGCCCCTCCTCATCCGCCTCAGCAGCCAACTCGGCGCTCAAGTTCGGCAAAAAGGTCAGATTATGCCCCTGGCCGTCCGTCGTGCGGTTCGGGTCGACCGTGATGCGGAAAATGGACGTGAGCACCCGGTCGGCATAGTCCTCGATGCTTTCCGGTGTCGCCGTGGCGTTGGTCTGTTTCTTGGGTGGGGCGCTGGCTGGTGAGCCTGCGGCGTCGGAGGCCTGGCGCTTGCCCCGTGAGATGGCGCTGTTGTTGTTGTTGTTGTTGTTGTTGGAGGTGGTAGTGGTAGCGGGCGTGCTGCCTGGCCGACTGAGGGGTTTCGGGGTAGACGGCGTTGCAGAGGAGGAAGAGGTCATGTTGATCCGGGCCCGGTTCTCGGCGGGGGTGGGCTGGCTTGGTGTTGTGCTCGGCTGGGGGGTACTAGATGTCGGAGGGGTCTCAGTGGCGGGGGAACCGGCGCGGGGGACGCTTGAGCTCGACGGGCCACCGAGTTTTGCGAGCCGGCGCTGGCGGATCTGGGCCATCGTCTCTTGATCCGGCGCATCGGGCGTCGATGCCGGCGGGGCTGAGGGAGGTTCTTCGTTAGGGTCCATGATTACGGTTGGTGGTGGTTAGAAATCAAGGCCTCTGGGATAGGCCGCTGTCGTGTGATGTTGTAGGAAGGGTAAAAGAAAGCACCGCCTTTGGAAATGCAAAAGACACTAAAGGCTGCGAGATTTCGCAGATGCAAGGAAAGAATGGAAATTCCTGGGCTGTCCCGGATCTTCGAACTCTTTGGGCTGCCGGGGTGTTGGGACTCGCAACCTTTGTTCCAGTGAGGGCCGATGCTGTTTGCATCTTTGAGCCGATGGCGGGGTCAAGAGCTGAGCTCCAGGCTGGAAGGCGCTATCGATTGGAGCCTGGCCGCCCCTGTTTGGTGCAACGTAATCACGGCCTCAGCGGGACCCAGTGGTGCACAGAAGCACACGGTCGAAGACCGTCAAGCAATTAGTCAGCATGGACGGAACCAGCAGCGGCCTCACCAACGAGACCGATTCCATTCCTTTCATCAAACCGTTGGGTTGAGGGACCATGCATTATTCGAGAATCACGTCGGACAGGATATCGAAATCAACGCATTTATTTCTTACAAGTCTCTACATGTTGCGGGTTGACCCAACAATTCGTCCCCTTTTACAAACCGCCCACACAAAGGCCGTTCATCTCGTCCATGTGCCAAGCCTTATCACTTGATCCATCCCATCCATCCCTTTCCTCTGAATAATCTTACACAACATACAACATAGACAGACGGCCATGCCAGTCCAAATGAAAAGTACCCCCATATGCGATCCATCATCATGGCCAGTTTCCCGTGGTATCTTATCCCTGTCATGACCCCATAAACGTCAAAGCAAGAGCAAACCATCGCAACAAACCCCCCCAAACAACGGTGCTCCGGAACGTGGCACCGACAACATGATGCTCTTGATAGCTGCCGATAATGACCCTGCCAACTCCGTGGGGTAAACACAACCCACCGTCTTAGTAAGACAGGGGAAAAGTAAAGAAAAGCCCGTACGAAACGCCGTGTCATGGACACAAATATGTGCAGGAAGCAGAGCAAAAGAAAAAAAGAAACAGGCCGGGGAGCGGGGCAAAAAAACAACGCCCACAAACCCTCGATGGGAATCCATCAAAGTCGATGAAGGCTCTCCGGCCGACCGCCCTCGCTATACCGACGGTCATCCCCCGAATACCGCCAGCCGCTGCCATCTGAAGAACCAGGCCTGGCACCACTGCTGGAGCTGCTGCCACTCACAATGCTGCTCAAATCCGCAAACCCAGCAGTACCACCCCCAGCACTCCTAGAGCCCGAGCCGGATGTCGATGTAGCGCCCGCAGCCAAACCTGAACCACCGGAACCTATACCTGAGCCCGACCCAGAGGCCACAGAGGCAGCGGCGCCGGCAATAGCGGCGGCCGCGGTGGATGAGCGGCTCTGGCGCTGCAGACTCATGAGCCATGATAGGTGCATGTTGACAACTCCGACCTTGCTGCCGATCTCCGCAATCTGGTCGCTGAAATGAGCCGCGTGCTGGAGGATAATGTGGGACTGACGCGCGTCCATATCGCGCGACTGCTGACGGAGTATCTCCAGCTCTGACTCAAGGCGCTCGAACTGGGCAAGCACGTAGTCCTCGGTTGAGCCGCCAACGTCGCCGTCCCCGTCACTAGAGGGTTCGGCGGAGTGGGCGGCGGAGTGGGTGGCCTCGATGCTGCGGTGATCATTGTTGTTGTTAGTGCCGTGGGCTGTCGCATGAGCTTGGGCTCGGGCCGCTCGCCGAGCCTCCCTTCGTGCGTGGCGTTCCTCGCATCTGGCAACATGCCTGGCCATTTCGTCGAGCCTCTTGCGGTCCTCGGCCTGCTGTTGAAGCATCCGGCTGATGACCTCAAAACTACAGCCTTCAGCTTCGTGCTTCTTGACGAGTTCTCGCCTCTTGAAAACCCTGCAACCTGCCGAGTGCCATTTGCACGGCGCGTCAACCTTTGGGCAGTCCTCATGCTTGTGTCGTGTCATGCTGGGGTTGGGCATCACTTGTCTGCAGTCCGAGCATACCGCAACGCGGCCCATACAGTCGTTGTCGTAGTGGCTGTCGAGCTCCATAGAGCAGACCTTGTCGCCGCAATGTCTGCAGTCGACCTCATCATGCATACACCCTCCGAGGCGTTTCCGGGCTACTCGTCGAGTAATCGGCTTCACACAGTCGGGACCCGTGCACTGAACCAAGGTGAAATCACAACGCCGCTTGTAGTGTCCCTCAAGGTGTTCGCGAGGGCACTGATGGTTGCATCCCTTGTTCGGGCACTTCACCATGAGCCGGTCCAGCTGTTCCTTGATAATGAGAGGACAGAGATGGTAGTCGCGTGTTTTCCTGATCCGCTGGCGGTCGATAGGGCAGGTGGACTGTGTCTCCAACGCCCGGTCGATGCATTCCCGGCAAAAAGTGTGGCCACATGGTGTTGTGATTGGCGAGATAAAAGGTGTCCTGCACACCGGGCAAAGAAGGGTGTCGTCAACTTCGCCGACGTACTCGATGGCTTGGTAATCGAGTTTCGTGATGAAGATGTACTTGAACTCTGCAAATCCGATGGCACTAGGGCTGTTTGGGGCCGTCAGGGGAACTGGGGCCGGCTCCGGGCTACTTGGCTCCGAAGAAGCCGTGGCGAGCGCCCCTTCCTCCGGGGTGTTCGGCGGCGGCATTGCGGAAATCTGTGTGAAAGTGAACTGAAGTTGCGCCGCGATCGCTGCTCTGCCGCGCCGAGGTCGAAGTCGCGAAAGGGAGCGGAACCTCGGCCCGTTTGGGTAAAGGTCAAATGTAAACCTCGAGGCGGAGGGAACCGGGGTGGAGGCCGCCGGAACGCGACTGAAATTCAAATGAGAATGTGCCGATAACTACACTCTTGAAGGAGAGTTGCATGCGCAGCCGCAATTCAAAGGTATTACAAAAATGTTGCAATACTTGACTTTAGAGAAGGCGAATTGTTGAGCGTGAATCGGAATTCACGAATGTACTCGAAAGGTGCAGGCACAAGGGTCCGCCAAGAATTCAGCTCACCCCACCAAGCCAGTGGAGCACGGGCCAAAACCAAGAGCCCCACTTCCCTATCGGGCAACCTCGAAGTCAACAGACGAACCCGACATGCATGGGAACAAGCAGTGGTTGAAATCACCGCCAACGCGAACACCTGCTCAGAGTTGTGACGCCTTGCTGTCATGGCTATATGTATTTGGTCATTTTAGTGTTGTACTTTCTAACATTCACCCCTTTTCGGTTGTTGACAATTCCAAAGCAGGATAGTTGGAGAAAACACGTTTTACTATGCTTCGTTAATTACTCCTCTTCGAACACTTCCGACACACTCCGGACCATTACAATCAATCTGACATTCTCATGTAAACTACCACGCAATGTAAGATCGGATTATACTGCTGTCCCCAGGTGGGATTTTCAATTTACATTATTCTTGTGGTTTCGTAGAATACCCCGGGGAAGTTCTCTAGTAACCTGTTGTTGTTAGTTTCCCCCCCTGCAAGCTGTAGTTCCTCGGCGTCCCTTTGTTTTGTCTAATTACCATGTAACATTGCGCTGCCCAGCTTCCCAAAGTGCTGTGAACCTTGATGGCAGCAGTTTGTGTAACGGCGACTACGGGCTCCAAATTTCTCTTTGTCTGTCAAGCGTTGCGAACCAAATGCCAAGCATTTATCATCCTGTCCTCATATGTGCCAATACTTGTGCTGACACACCCAGCACCGCCCAGATGTATTCTCCCATTGGTCTACTTACACTCTCGATACACAGTAATCCTCAGCACAACTGAGGTTCTCAATACTCGGCCCCCATCATGCCCGTCTTAGAGTACCTGTCTCTTGAATAGTTTGGGGATGTGCAAACCAGCCAAAGGTCGCAAGGGATATGGATAGAAGTAATTCTACGCTAAATGCCATCCCCGGCGAGAGAAAATCTAGCCTAACCAAACCCGAATTCATGCATTGGCTCAGGCACTGAGCCGGAAACGGCAAGAACTCGCATGATGCTGACTTGTCCTCTGGGTGCAGACAGCGGCTGCGAAAAGACATGCAGGGGGAATGAATGTCAGCGCATCGTTACCAGTCATCTCATGGTCTTTTTTTCGCTGCGCTTTACTGTTAACTGAAGCGAAGAGTGGTTGCGGACTCTGGGTGCCAGGTTGTGGCAAAAGAAGAGGGAACCGAGCCAACCCGCAGAAAGGCAACCTGAGCGGTTCTCAGGAACCCATGCAAGGCACCTGAAGAGAGGTTTCTTAAAAATACTGTGGGAGGGCATTAAAAAGGCAGAGCGTCAGACTCGGATCTACGGCTTTTTAAAGATTTCGCACGGTTCGTTTAAACCCGCTAAGGTCTCCATACCCCTCGGTTGATGGAAATGCGCCCCGCTCGGCAGGCCGAAAAAATCGCCCACCCCTGTCGGCCAGCCCGCTCACCCGCTGCAGTCACAAAAGTCGAGGTCCCACGTTCCTTCGTCTGAACAGTGGAGAGCGATTTCTCGTCCGAGCCAGCAGCCGTCGCCCCATATTTGACGTTCACGCCTGTACAGCCCCCGGAATGCGGTCAATTCCACGGCGCCATGCTTCCCCCATCCATATCAGTATACTAGAAACCGAACCTGGAGATACGGCCACCAGCAGACCAAGCCGAGAATACTACGCCCACCAGACCGTCGACGTACCGTAGCCGAGACAGCAGAAGTTGGTGCAGCAGGTGCAGCAGGTGCCGCAAGTTCAGCCAGTACAGTAAGGGATCGAGGATCGAGGAACACCAGCACAGCGACAGCGCTGGGAAGTGCTGGGAAGGGTACACAACGACGCCTCCCACGGCGCGCAGGCCTCTAGTCAGTGCGCAACAAGACTGGAGTGAAAAGGAAGAAGAAAGACCACCACCGCGCGCAGTACGAGAAAGGCCAAGAGCCTGCTGCCGTCCACTCGGATCGACCGCCCGACTCGTCGCCAATACCTGCGAGAAGCCGTCGGGCCCTGCTCAATGAGCTGCGAACTCGACGCCCGTTGCGTAACCACGAGATCCAATGGGAACCGCACCCACTAGACAATGACGGCAACCGAAGCCATGGATAGGACGACCGGGAGCGAGGACAGGGCCACCAAGTCCGAAGGCGAGACCACCAACAAGGCCCGCGGTCATCATCAGCGTGTGCCATCTGCTGGTGATGCTCCTAGCGCTGGGCACGCCGCTCCGGAGAGCGTTCACAAGACGCCCAAGAAGCGGCGCAAGGTCAATCATGGTGAGTAGATGGTGACACCCGCCAACCCCCAAATCCAGGCGCCTAGCCTGTTGTTGTCTGTATTCAGATACTGATTCGGCCCGTTCCATCGTGCAGCTTGTCTCTACTGCCGCCGATCTGTAAGTCACCCAGCACTCGTACCCAACACTCGTACCCAGCCCGGCGCATTCAGCGTACCCGCGATACCCTCCCCCACAGCCGCCCCCCATTTCTTCCCCCGAACTGGTGGGTGGCGCACTCCGAGCTGCGGCCTTGGAAGGGGTCCTCGCGGCCGCACAACACCCCCGGATGCCTACCCGGACGGATATGGCGACAAGATGCAGAAATTCAGGCGTTCTAGTGGCTAACCGTGTGTCCTGCTCCCCAGCACATGACGTGCGATCTCGTATGTGTCCCCCCACCCTATTCCAGACCCTGGACCATTGGTCCGGCATATCGGACAGACGTTGACCCGTGGTTGTGTGTGTGCGTGTTGGCGTAAACAGGAGCGACCGTGTACCAGATGTGTCAAACGTAACATTGGGCATCTTTGCCACGACGAACCGCGAGAGCACGAGACGAAAAAGCCCAAGAGTTTACCCACCGCTGCGACACAGCAGCAGCAACAGCAACAGCAGCCGCAGCAGCAGCAGCAGCAGCAGTCGAAACAGGAACCCGGCCCGCAGCCGGACCCTGGACGCAGCGCGCTGAACCAGAATGCTGGCGCCATGAGGCCGCTTTCGTTCGACGGGGCCTTGGGAAACAGGCCAGGGCAGGCCTCGAAAAGCGCGTTCGAGGCCACCACGCTGGCTGGTCGAGGCGGCAACCCTCTCCAGCTGGTGCAACCTACGCCGGTGTCCGGCATAGCGGCCAATGCTTTGGGCAGCGGAATGAGTCAATGTATGTGGCTGGCTGTTCATTTCTTTCCTGGTTCGAGTCCCGTTCGTTCCGTGTGCTGGTCTGTACCTGAGGTGTGCAGGGGGAGCTTAGCTGACTCTGACGCTTGCCGTTGCCGCCCACAGTTCCCGATTTCTCAGATGCCTGGCTGGCTGCGCAGAACCCTTACCACGACATGCATAACTTCCACCCGAACTATGTGATCGCGCCGGAGGTTACCAACGAATTCAATCTCCTTAATGACTTCTTGCAGACCAGCCTTCTCGATGACACGGGCCTGTTGAATGATGATCAGGCCCAAGTCGCCGCCACCGCTGCTGCTGCTGCTGCTGCTGCCACGTCCGGTTTCCCCGGTACCGACGCCGCCATGCTCCCACCAGGCGCTGCCCAGGGGGGCTCACTCGCCGTGCCCAACGCAGAGCACGGCAAGGTCATCCCCCGGCCCAACAGCGCTTTACCCGCCGACAAGGCCCGCGCATACTATCTCCAGGCCGCGGATCCTTCGGGAAACGCGCCGGAGGAGCGCATGCGCCAGGTTCTACAGGCCAAGTATGAGGCCGGCATGTTGAAACCGTTCAACTACATCAAGGGGTACACGCGTCTTCAGAACTACTTGGCGGGCCACGTGTCCGCGTCGTCGAAACAAAAGATTTTACGACAACTCGATCGTTTCCGGCCGAAATTCCGCGAGAAGATCAAGGATCTGACCGATATGGACTTGGTCCTGGTTGAGATGTGGTTCGAGAGGACGCTCATGGACTACGATCGCGTGTTTGCTAGCATGGCCGTACCTGCGTGCTGCTGGCGCCGAACGGGAGAGATTTTCAGGGGGAACAAGGAGATGGCCGAGCTTATCAGAGTCCCAGTTGAGGACCTACGAGGGGTAAGTTGAAATCCATCCATCCGATGACGGGTACTTGTGAATTTGATACTTACTGACATTCTGGGGCAGGGCAAAATTGCGCTCCACGAAATACTCACAGAAGATTCGAACGTCCGATATTGGGAGGAATTTGGAACCATCGCGTTCGATTCTGCCCACGATACGCTCCTTACGGCGTGCTCGCTAAAGAACCCGGCCGATGGCGCACCGGCTGTTAACTGCTGCTTCTCGTTTAGGATCCGCAGGGACGATCATAAGATGTATGTTTCGACTTCCTGATTACTGTCATCCTTGTTTTACCTTTCATTGCTGACAATCAGAATAGCCCGAGCTTGATTATTGGAAACTTTCTTCCACACGATCCGGAGCACGAGCAATAGAGGACGGTCGTATTAACACATATACCCGTACATCACTCATCTTGCATAGTCGTCTCCATAGTGAGGCTTCCTCCCACGCTTCGATGTCGTCAGAGTGTCATCGGATTCATTGGTTTACTTCCATCCGCGGAATACAATTCCAGGCTACCTACCTTCACTCAGAAATAATGGATAGTGCGGAGAGGTGTACATTTGGTTTAGTGTTGTTTTTCTCAGGGGGGACGCTTCTCGAGCGTTGGGGATTGGTCCCACATACTTATATACCTATACAGGCCCGGTGATTGCATAACAATGGCCTTTGGGCCTAGAGCAGACATGACAATGCCCAGGAGCGGGGTCAGAGGTCATGGTGGATAGTTTCATAGGGAAGGTACGGAGTATCGTGCCTTCCACGAACATAGGCGTGTTAGATGCGGCCTAATGGTTAATGTTTCTAGGCAGAAATTCATTTGGGCGCCGGTTTCTTTTTGTGCCCACCGACTTGCCAATTCTCACACGTTCAATTTAAACCTCGACTTGCGTGTGTTTGTGGTTTTAACGCACTTCAAGCTACCACTCTAGCAACGATACCCGGATCTTCACGGTTCCGCAAGAATGCCCCCGTCACGCATGCCCGGGAGGGCGCCCGCGACAATGCGCACGCCACGCGCGGCCAACCAGACCCCCGTAGCCGGGAGGGATTCTGGCAGCGGAGCGGAGAAACGGATTGAAGCCGCGATCAGTAGGTCCGCCTTTTATTTGGGACCGGGGCGGGGGTTGTTTGGTCTGAACCGATTCACGATTTCTCGGCATCCCATTCATCCCATTCATTCATTGAACCGCTTACACTACTCCCGCAGACTAGTGGTCCGATCTCAAAGCTAACAAACCCATCACAGAAGTCGCAGGCAAACTCAGATTACTCCTCTCCACCCCGGACCCCTCCGAGATACCCCAGATCGAGGCTCTTATCAGCGAGGTTACACCCCACATTGACAACCTGTACGCGTGCCAGCAGACCTATCGCCCCGGCATCAGCGGCGATTTGGACATTGATCAGCTGGGAACGGAATTATGGAACCGGTGCGCGCGTGTGGGCAGGGTGCAAAAGGAAAAGCGATACATGGAGCTACAACCCAAGGGACTTTGGAAGGAGGGCGACCAGGTTGGTAGTCTGGAAGAATTGACTATTTATGGACGGGCTTTGGCCTTCCATTTGCTGGCGATTGCGAGACCGAGGGAGGATGGCCCGCTTGATGTTGCTGCCGTGATCAGACTGCTGAAATTGGCTTTGAAGTTTGTGGGGGTGTGTGTTGGTATGTTCAGGGACCCGGTGGTTTGGGGGGATATGCGCTTTGCTGACGAGTGTAGACGCCAAACATCTAACGAGGGGTGGGCAAGTGCTCCATCTGGCGGCCGACTTCAACATATGGTTGCAAGGGGTGGCTAAGGATCTTCCGGAAGAGGAAGCTAAAGAGTGCCAGTGTTTGGAGGTGGAGTATTTCATCATGAGAACCACTCTGGTATGTTGGTGGGATTGATTGGGAACAGGACAAGTCGCTAACAAACTTAGTGCATGGTGCAAAAGCGCTTCGACATTGCCGAACACATGTACACCAAATCCGAGCATCTCCACAAGTTCCTCACTCCCGAGTACGCTGAACGACTGGGCAGCAATCTCTTGGCCATCAGCAAATCGTTGTCGGACCTGCACGATAACAAGGCCGCACTCAGGTGGTTGAACCGGGCGCTAGACGTGGTGAACACCCAAGAGCCGGGGAAACTGTCTTATGGAGGTCGCGTGTTACGTCGTTCCGTCTTCCAGGCGTTGGTGGCCGCACTCTTGATTGAGGGAGGCCCTGAAAACCTCGAAAAGGCCAGGAACTTGATGCACTACATTGAGGCGGAAAATGGCGACGGGCATGTCGTCTGGATGCTCAAGCTCGAGCTGTTGATCAAAACACCCGCCGAGGTCTTCGACAGCGAGGGTTACGCCGATACCCTGCGGCACGCCATGCGCCATTTCATCCGCAGCGATTCAGGGTTCAAGCTTGCTCTTATCTACATTCGAAAACTCCATGACAAGAGCCCCGGTGCTGGGTGTGCGGTGATGGATGATTTCATAACCCTATTAGGCAGCGCGAAAAACCACGAATGGCTGGAGAAGGCTGTGGTCACGCGCATGTGGATGATCACCAGCCAACGGGATTCACTTGAGACTATCAGCACTGTGAAGAGTGTGCTGAAGTACCTGAACAGACCCCTGAGTGCCGAAGCGGCCGGGGCCGCACAAGCAGTAAGTCGTTTTGACGGTGCCGTGAACCAGGCTAACTGTGACCAGTTGCTGTGGAAGAAGCTCGAGTTGAACTACGTCCAAGGTCAATATGATCTGGCAGAGAGCTGGTGTCAGCTAGGTCTCCACGACACATTCGAGAACTGCGGCGCCGAAAACAAGTCCAAGCTCGAAAGGTAGATCCTACTCAATGCCTCCCTTTTGTGGTTGCCGAAAAACTTCTAACCATGGCAGGAAGCTCCTCATATGTGCGCTGGCCAAGAACAGTCTACAGGATGCCACCTCGGTTCTTGATGGCCTCTCTCCGCAGAGCTGGAGGGACCCGATGACAGCGTATCTCGCTTTCAAGGTTGCCATCCGCGTGGAGGATCGTGCTCTTGCCGAGAAATGTCTTGAGACCGTCGCTCAGGCACCAGATCATGTGGACTATCTCGGTGCCTGCATAGCCGAATCACAAAAGACGGGCGACATTTCGTGTGCCCTTTCCGCGCTCAAGAAACTTCAGGAACGGTACGAGTACAAAGAGCCGAATCCAATACACTTACCCGCACTGTTTAGGTGCACTATCCGGCTGCTGAATTTGTTGGTGGAGAGGCAAGGGGAGGGAGATACAAATGCGGTTGTGGGTGACCTTTGCGAGGTCTTTGATGCTGGTAAGTACAACTTCGATATTCTTTTCGGTCGTATCTAACAATCTTCCATTATTAGTCGTCCTGGCGCTGGAACGGCAAGAGGAGGACACTACTTTAGGTCGTAAAGTATTCACGGTTGATGAACTCGAATGGTTCAGTAGAAACGCCTACAACCTTGCACTGAAGAATACGGCCTCGTGGGACCTGCGATCCATTGTGCGAATGTTGACAACTTGTATCGGAATCATCGGGCATTTTCCTTCGGACGCCGGATTCAACCTTGAACTTTCTCTCAAAACTTTGTTTTCCCGCTTCGTGATTTCCTCAGCACTCGTATCCCTGGCCCGCACGCAGGACAATGTTGAACAGCAACGACAAGACTACACCTCGATGCGACGACATATTGCAGACTTTGACAGCGAGCTCCAGGAGTACCTTCCCCAGTCGGACGAACAATCGAAAAGTGACATGCTCCGGAAACATGCCACGCTGCTCGCCTTTGATTTTGAAGCGGCCGTGGCCTTGGAGCAGTGGGATGATCTGGGCGGTGTTGTACAACGAGCGGTGCCATGCAAGAATATTGCTGCTTTCCAGGCGATGGCGGATTGTTTACTGAGAGCGAAAGCGCCAGGGCAAGGTAGTCTCGCATTTTCCCTGTATGTCTCAATGGCTAGCTAATCGCTCCCAGTTCTCTACTCCAACATGCGAAAACTCGTCAACGAGATTTGGACCCTCGAAAACTTTGACGCCGTCAAACTCACCAAGTACACGCGGTGTCTCTTCCAAGCGACGCTCCCTCTCAACGACAGTCTTGCTATGGACTTGTTGGATGAGGCGTGTACCAGGGCGAGGGAGCTCCATGAGGTTTGCCGCCCTCATCAACCAACCCTCCGTATGAGAAATAACGAATGCTAAATATGAATGAATGATCCTCTTAGAACCCCGACACCCCCTGGCCAGAAGACGAACTGGAATGGATGGCCACGACAGCCTTCAACCACGCCATCGACTGCTACGGCGCACGCGAGACTGACCAGGCTAAGGCCTGGGCCACCAAGGCGATTAACCTGGCGCATTACTGTCGTGATGACGGTGGGCTGGAGGGGGTGCTGCAGGGGAAGTATATGCGGTTGAGTCTGGATGGGGAGGGGGTCCCGGGTGGGGAGGATGGGGAGGTGTGATTTCTTTGGTCTTCTTTTTCCTTGGGTCTTTGTTTTGTTTTTCTCCTCGGTTTTTTTGTTTCGCTTCTCTTTAGTTTCGTTCCGTCTGTCTGATTTGCTTTTCAAGGGCGAAGGGTCCCAGAGCAGGCCATGACCATGTGGCATCTTAAATGTACGAGCTAAGAAGGGGAGATATGGGGGCTATTACTGGCTTTGTTTATGTAGCTGATTGTAATACATGTCCTGATTGAGGATTACGGACTGGCCAAACAGTGTCACTTACTTATACTAACCTAATAGCCCTACGCCGGTTCCAAAGTGCTCAGGGTACCTTTACCTTGAATTGATCTTCGATTTCTGCGTCTCATTATTTCCGCACAATATACCGTCACAGCATAAAAAGGGCTTCATTAGCTGCAACTAGCCAACGGCATTGGTATTCTGTGATGTAAAAAAGTAGCTTGCTAAATATATATTTCCTACTTTGCATCCAAGTACTCGTCACTTTCGAGTACTCATCACCAGCAAACACAAACCACCACAGCCCTTTGTACCCTCTGTACCCTTCCCACCTCCGTCCATATACATTCTTACAACCCTCCCCTCCAAACCACCCCCTGCATAGCTAATGAACTAAATAGCAATAAAAAAGCTCTTCTCCCCCTCCTTCGCCACAACCCTCGACCGCTCCATAATCGGGTCCACACACGCCAACCGAATCCTCTCCGGCGTGGCCGGGCTGTCCAATCTCAGCAGCCCATCCTCCTTCTCCCCCTCTCCCTTCTTATCTCCCTCTCCCTCTCCTTTCTCATTCTTGGGGTCAGTCACAGTCTTGGCAACAACCCCAAATCCCCCCCTAGCAGCCTTCAACGCATCCCTCACAGCAAAGAAAACCACACTCCCCATAAACAACGGCGGTTCCCCGACCCCCCTACTCCTCTGAATAGTCCTCAAATCCTTCCACTCCACCCCCTTCAACAAACTCACGTTCCACACCTGCGGAATATCCCTAAACGACGGTATCTTGTACGCCCCCGGCCCCCGCGTAAACATATTCCCCGCCATCGGCCCGCCGCGCAACCAAAGGGATTCCTCCATTGTGAATAGTCCGAGTCCTTGGATAAAGGCACCTTGGATTTGGCCATAGTCGATAGCCGGGTTGATGGAGCGGCCGACGTCCATTTTGAGGTCGGCGCGGAGGCAGGTCCAGGAGCCGGTGAGGGTGTCGATTTCGACTTCGGCTGCGGCGACGCCTTGGGTGAAGTAGAAGAACATTTTACCCGTGTTGGTGGCCCAGGAGTAGCCGATTTCGGGGGTTTTGTAGAAACCTTGGGCGGAGAGGTTGACGCGGTCCATGTAGGCGGCATGGGCTACTTCTTTGAGGGGGATGGGGATCGAAGGGTCACGGTTGGGGTCGGCAGCGGCGAGTTTGGCGCGGTAGGGGGCGAGGCGGGCGTTGAGTTGTTCGCAGGCGTTGTGGATGGCGTAGCCGTTGAGGTCGGAGGAGGCGGAGGCGGCGGTGGCGGAGGCGTTGGCGACGGTGTTGGTGGCGGTTTCGGAGATGTAGACGTCTTCCATGGGGATGCCGAGGGCTTGGGCGGCGATCATGGTCATCTTTGTGTGGAGGCCTTGGCCCATCTCGGTGCCGCCGTGGGCGACGAGGACGGAGCCGTCGTGGTAGATGTGCACGAGGGCGCCGGCTTGGTTGAACCAGAGGGCGGTGAAGGAGATGCCGAATTTGGTGGGGATCAGGGAGAGGCCGCGCTTGCGCCACTTGTGCTCGGCGTTGAAGCGGGTGATGGCCTCGCGGCGGGCGGCGTAGTCGGATTCGTCTTGGACTTGCTGGTACATGAGCGGTACGTGCCAGTCGGTCAGGGGTTGGTTGAAGTGTGTTTCTTCTAGAGGTTTGTACATGTTGATCTCGCGGAACTTCTCGACGGGGATGCCCAGACGGTCGGCGACCTCCTCCATGAAGGTCTCGGCGATGAACATGCCTTGGGGCCCGCCGAAGCCGCGGAAGGCGGTGTTGGACACGGTGTTGGTGCGACAGATGCGGCCGCGGACGTGGATGTTGGGAATCTTATAACAACCGTCCGAGTGGGACAGAGCACGCTCGCATACGGCAGCGCTGAGATCCCACGACCAGCCGGCGTTGTTGTAGATGTCGAGGTCGAGGGCCTGGATCTTGCCGTCCTTGTTGACGCCGACCTTCCACCGGCCCAGGAAGGGGTGACGCTGCCCGGTCGTGACCATGTCCTCCTCGCGCGTGAGCATGCACCGGACCGGCCGTTTGGTCTTTTTCGCGGCCACGGCCAGGATCGAGCTGAGTTGTACGGATCGCGACTCTTTCCCGCCGAACCCGCCTCCCATGCGCTTGACCCGGACGTTGATCTTGTTGTTCTGCACATTGCACACCTGCGCGGCATATGCTTGTCTGTAGTTGTCAGTCAGCGAGTGTCCGTGCCAAGTGTTTGTAGAACAGAAGAGAGAAGGGGAAAGAGAACGTACGCCTCATTCGGATTCTGAGTACTCGACCAAATCTCCATCTCCCCATCCTCCGGCTTCGGAATCACCACAGCAGCATTCGTCTCCAGATAAAAATGCTCCTGCCCGCCCATCCTGGCCGTCCCCGTAAACACATAATCACACGTCCCAAACGCCCCCTCCACATCCCCCTTCTTGATCTCCCGAAAGAACTCCTCAAAGAAACTCTTCTGCTCAATCGCCTCCTCAATCGTAAACACCGCCGGCAACTCCTCATACTCGACCTTCACCGCCCGCGCTCCCTCCGCCGCCCGCGCTGCGGTGGTAGCAAGCACCAACCCGATCGGCTGCCCCGCGGTGAACACCTCGTCTTCAGCGAAGAACGTCTCCTGAAAGTGTGGCGCGCCCCAGCGGTTTGCGCGGGCGCTCGGCAAGTCGTTCTTGTCGACGTAGTCCACCACACCGGGGATATCAAGCGCCGGGGTATGGTCGACAGAAAGCAGTTTGGCGTGGGCTTTGGTCGAGAGCACCAGGCAGCCGTACAGCTCGTTCTTCAGCGGCGGGATGTCGTCTGTGTACTGTGCTTCACCGGTGACTTGCTTGAGCGCGGCCACGTGTGGGTTAGACCGGCCGACGGTTTCTTGCATGTAGGCTTCGGCCGCGGCGTGGTCTTCTTTGCCGGTGGAGATTTCCCGCTCGATTTCGGATATTGCTTGCGTGTCGGTTTCGTTGCTGCCGAGGGATTCCATGATTTGGTGGTAGAACCGGTAGAAGAAACCGAGGGCTAGTGATTTCCGGTATGATGCCATGCCGCCGGGTACGCTGAAGGGAAGGTCAAAGTCCCGGCTGAGGGCACTCATCACCCCCTCCAGCGTCTCCAGCTCGGCGAGTTTCTTCCCCGCGAGGAACTCGCCCGCCTGTTTGGCCAGTACCGTGGTTGGCGCCATGCCGCCGTAGGCCAGGCTTGCCTCTTCCACCACGGCGGTGTCGCTGTCGCTGCTCAGCTGCAGCCGGAGGGCAGAGGTGACGATAGCGATGTCGTCGTCCTGTCGCTTCGCCTGCTTGTAAGCGCGGAAGAACTCGTTCTTTTTCGTTAGTGGGACTCGGATCGAGGCCAGCACAGCGTCGGCGGGGAGTGCGGTCCGCCGGTAGCCCTGGAAGAAGCCAGACATGGGGATCTCAATGTCGTCGCTGCCCAGACGCTTCGCGACCAAGGTAGCCCCCGCGGCCAGCAGCACCGGGTTCAAGTCGGAGATCGGGGACGCCGTGACGAGGTTCCCGGCTGGCGTGCCCACGTTGCGGATCTGCCGACCCGCAAAGTATTTGAGCTGCTTGTGGATGGCCGTGAATACCTGACCCGCGCGCTCGCCGTAGTGCTTCACAGCCTCCTGGCAGACGCCTTCAAGGTCGGTGAGCGTGATGTTGGCGCCGATTTCCAGATGGTCGTCCTTAAGGGAGTACTGCCTCAGCTCCGGGATGTCCCCGACATACACCGATATGGGGTACTGCAGCGCCTTGAACTTGATCTCGATCTGCGTCTCCGAGCTGCCGCCGATGATCTTGGCGCTGGGGTACGTGTTTTTGATCTCGAGCAGCTGGTCCAGCGTCACGGGGCGCAGCCACTTCTTGCGCTTGTTGCCGAACGCGAGCGCCTTGAAGTCGTGCTTCTTGAGTGCCGGCGGGAAGATGAGCTCCGTGTCCGGCTTGTACTCGATAAACCCCGGTGGCGTGAACCGCTTGATAGGCTGGTCTTTGGGGGTGTCCATGCAGCACCCACCCCCTTTGCCCCCCTTCTCCATACAACACCCACCGCCCCCGTTTGCCGAGGCCTTTCCACATCCACTAGGCGCCGAAGAGATGTTGGATGTCAGATCAGTCGAATCCTCCGTCAAACTGTCGCTCGAATCCCCAGGCGATACACTCGTCGAGCTGCCAGACAACCCAGACGACTCCCCGGCCGATTCCCCAGCCCCCACTAACCCATCCGGCCCTACCGTTGCCGCCGCCGCTGCTGCGGTAGCCGTAGCAGCACCAGCACCAGCAGTGGTCTTCCCCTCCCTCTTAACACAAAACGTCTGCGCCGCATCCAAAATCGGCCTATATCCCGTACACCTGCACAAATTCCCATCAAACGCCTCCTCAATATCATGTTCATCGGGGGCCTCATTATTCCGCAGCAGCGCATACAGACTCATCACGATCCCCGGCGTGCAGAACCCGCACTGCGAGCCATTACTCTTGGCGATGCGTTCCTGTGCCGGGTGCGGCCGCTCGACGTTGCCGATGCCTTCGATTGTGATGACGTGTTTGCCGTCGACGGACGCGAGCGGTGCGAGGCAGGCGTTGACGCTGGCGTGGTAGATTTTGTGCGTGGTGGGGTTGTATTGGGAGATTACGACTGTGCAGGCGCCGCAGCCGCCTTCGCTGCAGCCTCTGTATCAGGGAAGTAATGTTAGCCTTTTCTTTCTTTCTTCTCTTTGACTTTGCAAATTGCAGGGGGAAGACGCACAGCTTGGTCCCTGTCAACCCGATACCCCGAAGGTACTCGAGCAATGTGACTTCGGGATCGATCTCGTCAATGACCACGCGGGTGCCGTTGAGGTAGAACCGGAGGGCGTCGTCGAAGGCGAAGCTCATGCTGCTCGCCGGCACTGAGGCGGGCTCGGTCGAGACCGCGGAGGGCGCCATTATGGATTGTACGAGAGATTTGTCGCTGATGTTGTGGATCACTCAATGTGGACGAGATATTATGATATCTGGTGTTTATCAGCCAGATCGTGCTCGGTCTCCCATTCCGATATCGACGTGTAAGACAAGAAATCGATGGTGGTAATGGACGCTCGTTCGATTGATAGCAAGTGGCGGAAAGTCTGGGTGGTCTTGATTTGTTGCAAGAGCCTTCGTCCAACAAGAAAGGTTCCTCAGAAACTGATAGGTACTAGGTATTGATATAATGCAGAAGGCAAGTGATCGGGTGGCAAGCCACTTAGGCACAGGGAACGTCACCTGCTTCTTATGTCCGTTCTCAGTCGTTCAAGCTACCTACAGTACGACAAGAAGCTGCATACTCCCCGCACTCCGCAGAGCTCCGGTTTCCAGGTCGAACCAATCTCCGTTTTGGCATTAGGAAGCCCCGCAACTAAGAGAACTTCCACTTTTCCATTCTTGGATTTCCAATCCCCCAATGGCCGAGACATTGCAATGGAATGGATATTTTTGCTGGTTCGTACCTCCTCTGAGTGCTCCTGGCGGAGCTTATCGACAGATGGCGGGGCACCCCGCTATCCGACCCGCTGATGAAGAGACGCACGCTGATTGGTTTCGGCCGGCTCCGGCATTCGCCAGCCGCCGTTGGGATGTGGGGTTTCGGGCACCTCCATACTTACCATTGAGGACTTACCATTGAGGAGTTGTGAATTGAAATTGGAGTACAATAATTCGGAGGGTAGTCTGAAAGTCAAGAGGATGATGGTGAGGCATTTGTTTCAGTAGCCATCCACTATGTAGGTACTTATTGCATAATATGTGCCGGTATGTTGGGAGCGAAACTTCCTGCTTTATGCGCCTCGCGCAAGGGTTAGGGTCCACTGCATTGAGATTCTGGGCCCCACCATCACTCTTCCTTGACACGTTAATTATGTCCATTCCATCGCAACCGTCTCACCGAACCGACGCATTCATTAACTGAATCCTAGAATTGCCGAATTGAAAATTCAAAAATACATCCCTTCCCTCCTCCTTCATGAACATTCACTGCCAATTCCGCAATATGTACGATGGCTCGATCAACTCAACGTCGGTTATTGTCTCGAAGTGCCTCGATGAGACGAACGTATTTCGAGATTCATGACTCGCGCTCTACGACCGCCGGAGCTTCAATTCTCAATGAGTAACCCATTGTCTTACTCAATAAATAATCCATATTGTTAAACCCCCAAAGGGTATCAAATCAAGGCTGAGTGAACTTCGTTCGACACGGCTAGACTCGACAACCCCCCAATATAAACCTCCAGTTCCCCAACCATGAGTTCAGACGGACCAGACCTTAAGGATGGAATCAACACCACCAAATTCGACAAACGAGATCCGTTCGCCCGCATATAAAACAAGGCCGTCCCCGCTAGGCGCCATCTCAGCCGAATTCACGGCAATGAAACCCCTCCTTACTCCGCATTTATGGATTCGGGGTCTGTTGGCTCGACATGCAGTGGAAAAGATGTACCGCCGGGTATTTAACAACAGCCGTGTGAATTGGGCTATTTCCACGCGTTAATCGGGCGATTTTCCACACGCGGGCTGCTGGTGCATTAAATTGGAACTCTGGATGGTTTGAATATGGATTGTTCTTTCCTCAGAGTCGAGGTCGAGAAAACACCACTTTCTCGTTTCTCGTTCTGGTAGTCCATGAAGAGACAAGGTAAGAGCCTCAACATAATAAACCACGCGAATAAGTTCGACAACCGCCCGCCATGTCCGTCCAATTCCACAACATCATCAACGACGAGCTGCGGGGCAGCAGCGAAACTCACCGGGTAACCGACCCGCGGACCGAAGAGGAACTATGGGAGTGCCCTGTGGCATCGACGCAGGACTTTGAGCACGCCGTGGCGGCCGCGCAGACGGCGTTTGCAGCGTGGTCCCAGACTACCGTGGCCGAGCGCCAGGCATGCCTGGTCCAGCTCGCTGATGTGCTGCGTGAGAATAAGGAGGAGCTGGCGGGGATTCTGATGCGGGAGACGGGCAAGTCGAAGATCTTGGCGGATATTGATGTTGAGGGGAGCGTGGCGCAGTGTCTTTACTATTGTGAGTTGCCTCTTCTCTCAGGGGCGAACCTAAAGCGTCAAAGCAGGTAGAGACTGACGTATTCAGCCCAAAACGCCCTCCAAGACGAAATCCAACACGAAGACGCCCACACCCGCGTCCTAGCAACGCACATCCCCCTGGGCACAGTATCCGCCATCTGCCCCTGGAATTTCCCGCTCATCCTGGCCAACATCAAAGTCGTGTCCGCCCTCGTCACAGGCAACTGTGTCATCGTCAAACCCTCCCCGCACACTCCTTACTCCGTCCTCCGCTGGGCCGAACTCAGCCGCGGCATCCTCCCCCCGGGGGTCTTCCAGGCCCTTAACGGCGGCGCTGAGTTGGGCGTCGCCATGACGCTGCACCCGGGGATTGCCAAGATCTCGTTTACGGGTACTATTGCTGTTGGGAAGAAAGTCATGGAGGCGTGTGCAAAGACGCTGAAGAAACTCACGCTGGAATTGGCGGGGAATGATGCCTGTATCGTGTGCGAGGATGCCGATTTGGACGTGGCCGTGCCTGCGGTGGCTAGTGGTGGGTTCTTCAATGCGGGACAAGTGTGTGTCGCGAGTAAACGGATCTACGTGCATGAGAGTATTTACGAGGAGTTTCTCGCGCGGCTGGTGCAGGAGGTGGAGACGCGGTATGCGATCCAGGAGGATGGGCTGTCGCCGAGCGTGTTTGGGCCGCTGGATAATAAGGTGCAGTATGAGGTGGTGAAGGGGATTGTGGAGGATTGTAAGGCCAAGGGGTACGATATTGTCACGGGCGGGCAGACGGATAGACGGGAGCAGGGGAAAGGGAAGGGGTTCTGGTTGCCGCCGACGATTGTGTCGCGGCCGCCGGAGGAGTCGGTGCTTGTGCAGGAGGAACAGTTTGGTATGTCTTTCCGTCTAACTCCCATCACACTGCTTCCTCCCCGTATTCTCCTTGTCCACCACTTACTTACCCACGTACACGACGCACCAGGCCCCGTCCTCCCCATCCTCCCCTGGACCTCCGAAGACGACGTGATCCGCCGCTCGAACCTATCCAACGCCGGGCTCGGCGCATCAGTGTACTCGCGGGACCTGGCCAGGGCGGAGCGCATCGCGCGCCGGCTGGAAGCGGGCGGGGTCTGGATCAATATCTTTGAGCGGCCCAACTATGGCGCCTACTTCTCGGGCATCAAGGACAGCGGGTTTGGCGGGGAGATGGGGAAGCAGGGGCTTTTGTCGTATGCGTATACTAAGTGTCTGCATTTTGCGAAGTGAGGGAGGGAGGTTGATGCCGTGGATCCGGGATTGAGGATGGGAATCGATGCTTGGCGTTGAGGATCCGGGTTATGGATGGCATCGAGGATCTGAATCACGGATGGCATTGGGGATCCGATTTACGAATGGCATCGACGGTCTGGATCACGAATGGCACCGAGGATCTGAATCATGGATGGTGTTTGTTGAAGTAACGTTGTCGTCGGTGCTGATCCTATAGATGTGCAGTGGCAGTGGCATCTGTGATGTGGCAAGCCACAGAAGCGCGGGAACGTGGGATTTGGGGGTCCCATGTTTATTTTCGTCCTGTGCCTTAATGCCGTCTGAGACATGACTTACCAAAAAGATGCCAAAAAGCCACCAAAAAAAAAAAATCCTCGGGACGAACGACAGGATCCGAAGCGGTGAAATCGATCCTTCCTTTCTCTCTTTTTTTTCGTGTTTCTCTCCGCATCTGCCGATCCCATCCAAACTGATCCAAACTCACCCAAACTTTTTCATCCAAAGGAATTGCAAGAAACGGGCAAGAAATGCCAGGGCCTCATCCAGCAAAGATTCGACGTCATGGTCGAATACGAGGTCACCAGGTCCGCCCCCAAGGGACGCCCAACCAAGCAGGCTGGTTGGCTCCTATCAGCGTCGAGCAACCGACAGCGCGTAGCGTGGGCGATGGATGTCCGTCCACTGCGCAAACCCCGACCAGGGGCCTGGGGCTGCTTGGGCTGCAGGGCCAGTTAGGTGCCGCACCACACCCCGGGACACTGCAGGCGCAGGTCTTGGCTTTTCTCGTGTCGGTTTGCAGGCTTTGCAGGCTTTTGCGAATGGGAATGCAAGTGACATCAACGCGCCAATGCGGGAGGGCGGTAGGGAAGGAGAGGTGTAAGCGGGAGGATCGTCGTGCCGTTTGCTGGTGATGGGGGATTTGAGATGGGATGTGAGATGTGAGATTGTTAAATAGATGGGTTTGGGCTGTTGTTTGTTTCTGATGATTACTCACTCACTCACTCACTCACTCACGCTTCCACAAGTACATTCGTACACAGTCTTAGGATACAATACACCAGAACGCCATACTTATAGTTTTACACTAACGTCGTCATCGACTTGATAAAGTCAACAACTCAACGCAACCGCCAAAATGAAATTCACAGCCGTCGTCGCGCTCTACGCCACCGCCGTCCAGGCCACGGACTACTTCTTCACCTACGACGGCGGCAACCAGATCACCAACGGCCAGCGCCTGCGCGGCAACAACTCGGTCGACTACTACTCCCCAGGCGTGACCCTGCCGCCGTATAACTCGGAGGATCGTACGTATTCCCCCTTTTCCAACATTAAAAAATTGTCAAAGAAAAGGGTTATTCACTAACACGCTACACAGACTTCCAACGCATCAGCACCAACCTAACCACCTGCGCCGGCCCCCAAAACCCCGGCACCCTCCAGGTAGTCCCAACCCACCCGCACCCGCCGCCGGTGCCGGGATACTACGCCCTCAGCGACAAGGAAAAAGTCGGCGACGCCTACCGGCTGGTGTACACGTACCATGCAGACGACGCGGCCGAAAGTGTCAAGTACAAGTCATGGAAGCTTCACACGGTGGGGAATGGATCGAGAAAGGATCTGGCTTCGCTGAGTTTTGAGGGCGAGGGGCTGAATACGGGGGATTGGACGTGGGTTGCCAGGAAGGAGGTTAGTGGGGGGTTTGAGAAGTGTGAGTTTTCCTCCCGTCTCTCCTTTCTTTCTTGTTCCTTGGTGGGCTTTCTTGAGAGTGAGTTCCAAAACTAATACGGTCGCAGGGGTTCCGTGGTATGTCAAGACGTCGAGATTCCCCTCGATCCTCACCGAGTGGGAGCTTGTCAAGGTTGATCTGCGGCTCATTACTGCCAAGGGCCCGGTCAACTCGAACGCGCCGGGTGGTGTGCAGGAGTAAATTGGACTGGGGGCGACGGGGTGACGGAGCGACGGGGGTGAAGGGGGTAGGGTGAGGCGGATATGTTGATAATGTAATGGAAGTTGCGATATATTGAGAATTTAGAATGCTTTTTACATAGTACAACCTTTTCATTGCCGAAAATGCAACTTTGATCTCCCCGATGAACTTCAACCCTAACCCTTACATGAATAGCAACTCCACATTTCGCTGTGGGGTCCCCAATCGGCTCGGAGAAAGTCCGGGCGCTCCCGTTCGGCATGCTTCCGTGGTGCTTGACCGGGTGATTCCCGATCTGAAGCGAGACAATCGAGCCGACATTGGGGTTCGCTTCTTGGCCTCCAAAGCCGACAGTTTGCTCTCGGTGTCCCAGGGTCGGCATTGCCTCCTGTCTGGACCCTTCTGTCAAGGCTCTCGTATTCCTGTCAGTAAATGGGATTGAATGCCGCTACTCTACCTCTTCAATGTTCAAGTTGATTTGTCCTGAATCAAGTATCCTCATGTCAACTGTAACATGTTCAATCGCCACCTCGGTGCTACTAGTTATGTAGTTACAGTCAACCAAGTTGCCTCGGCACAACGCATCCCCACACTTCCCCAGATGCGGGGACCGTTGCCGAGACAGGGGCCGATCGGGCAAAGGTCGTGACATGGGATGATGTCTTGATGGGACGGAAGGTTGGGGTTTCGTTTATTTAATTATCTTCCTCTTTCTCCCTTCATTCTCATTCTCATCATCCATCAACCACCATACCAACGTAACTCGAAATCACTAATTTTCATACTTCATACTCCCTCATACTCACCACACAGCTAAACACAAACATTAATACATCATGCCTCGCCCGAAAGAACCGTGCTACGTCCTCGGCGTGGGCATGACCAAGTTCATCAAGCCCCGCGGCAAGGTCGACTACACCGAGATGGGCTACGAGGCCGGCATCAAGGCGCTGCTGGACGCCCAGGTGACCTACGACGACGTCGAGCAGGGCATCGCCTGCTACTGCTACGGCGACTCGACCTCGGGCCAGCGCGTCTTCTACCAGTTCGGCATGACCCAGATCCCCATCTACAACGTCAACAACAACTGCTCCACGGGGTCGACTGGTCTGGCCATGGGCCGCAACATGATCTCGGCCGGTGCCGCCGATTGTGTCATGGTCGTTGGGTTCGAGAAGATGATGCCGGGCAGTCTCCAGAGCTTCTTTAACGACCGTGAGTCGCCGCTGGGGACCACGTATGCCATGATGGCCACTACCCGGGGGCTGTCCAAGGCGCCGGGGGCTGCGCAGATGTTTGGCAATGCCGGGCGCGAGTACATGGAGAAGTGGGTTCTCTTTCTCTTTGTCTCTCTTTCTCTTTGTCTCTCTTCCTTTCATCCTTTTCATGCTCGAGTGGTAATACTAACCGACGTAGATACGGCGCCACGGACGAGGACTTCGCCGAGATCGCGCGCATCAACCACGCCCACTCCGTCCACAACCCCTACTCCCAATTCCAAGACGTCTACACCCTCGACCAAATCCTCTCCTCCACCCCCATCCACCCCCCGCTCACCAAACTCCAATGCTGCCCAACCTCCGACGGCGCCGCCGCCGCCATCCTCGTCTCCCAATCCTTCCTCGACGCCCGCCCCCACCTGCGCTCCCACGCCATCCTCATCGCCGGCCAATCCCTCGCGACCGATTCCCCCTCCCTCTTCTCCCAAAGCGCCATCGACCTCGTGGGCCGCGACATGACCATCCGCGCGGCCACCACCGCCATGCACGAGGCCGACCCATCCCTCACCCCGCAGGACTTCGCCGTCTGCGAACTGCACGACTGTTTCAGCGCCAACGAGCTCTGCCTGCTCGACGCGTTGGGTTTCTCCGCCCCCGGCAAGGCCCACGAACTCGTCCGCGCCGGCGGGATTACCTACCGCGGACAGGGCCGCGACGGCAAGGGAGACGGCAAACTCGTCGTCAACCCCAGCGGGGGGCTCATCTCCAAGGGCCATCCGCTCGGCGCGACGGGGATTGCGCAGTGCGCGGAACTGGTGTGGCATCTGCGTGGGTGGGCGAATAACCGCGCGGTGCCGAAGACTAAGTGGGCGTTGCAGCATAATTTGGGGTTGGGCGGGGCGGCGGTGGTGACGGTGTATCGGAGGGCGGATGGGAAGGAGGCGGTGACGGTGGATTCGGAGACGGTGGGGAGGGTGAATGGGTTGGGGTATAACCCGGCTGTGGAGGCGAGGGGGTTTACGGCGGAGCAGGCGAAGAGGGTCAGGAGTCGGACCAAGACGCATGAGTGGGCTATGACGGCGACGCTGCCGATGATGAAGGCTGCGCAGGCGAAGGTTTAAGTCGGGGGTTGGGGGTGTGTAAGAGGGTTGGGATGTGTATTTTTGTATGTATTTGATCAGCTTGGATACCTTGGAGCATACCCCGAACATGACGATGGGCGTGACCTGAACATGAACATGACCACCAAGTGAGATATATCCCAGCGCTCAAGTCCGAGACACAAAGAGAGGACAGCCCAACTACCTTTCTGACATATAAATATTCACAACGTACACAAAACGCCCCAAGAAATGTACTCGCACGCCGACCCTATACTCAATCAGAGCCGAGCAGAGCAAGGACGACATAAATAAGGCATAGATAACTGTGCATGATAAACCCGTCTATCAACCCCTTTAACACCACTGGACTCGATCATTCACCATCCACATATACATCATCACCCAGTACCCAAGCCCGATAAACAACCTCTACCAACGCCTCGCTAAACGACCAAATACCCAACACCCAACCCGTCTAGTATAGTAAAACCCCGCCCCCCTATTTTCACCAAGCCAGCCCAGACTTAACCAACCGAAACCAACCGAAACCAACCGAAACCAACCGAAACGAACCCAATTAAACAAAAGAAATGAACAAGACGAAGACAAACAAAGGAGAGTAAATCACCTCGGCGGCCCAGCCCTCAACATAGCCTCCCAGTCCTGTTCCATCCCACTCCCCCCACTAAGCCTGTCACCCCCTCCACCCGCGCCCACCACCCTCGGTGCAATAGTAACACTATTCCGCCCGATGCCTTTCGTGCTATTCCCAACTCCAGTAGTACCACCACTGCCCCGACTACCCGGATTCTTCCCATCAGGGTTGTTCTGGGTAATGCCTCCGGTATTGGAAATACTCCGGGCGTGCGCAGCAGCAGCAGCAACAGCAGCGACATACTCCTCATTAACCTCTTCCACAACCTCCACACTAACCGTTTTAATAATCCCCCGCGGCCACGCTGATAGTTCTAGGTCGAGGTCGATTTCACTTCCCTCGTCATAATCACCGTCATCCTCGCTGCCGTCCTGGGAGTCAGAATCAGAAAGAGAATTGTATCCTCTTTCCAGGTCTCGCCTATCGTCGCTGGCGTATCCGGATGATGTAGTGTGGAATGGTGGGGCTGGTATACGCCGGCCGTCGGCGAGGTCGTGGCCTGGGATGTGATCCGGGTCGTTGTTGTTCTTGCTGTTGTTGCTGCGGTATCCAGGCCCTTCGATAATTAGGTGCGTTGTTCTCTTTCGCTCGATCTCCCCTACCCCGTTTCCACCTGCCATCTCGTCCTTGTCATCGTCCCTCCGGGGGTATGGGCTGGATTCATCCCCTCGGGAACTCCCCCTCGAACTCGCCCTCCCGTTTTCCCTTTCATCGGCCTGGGTAATAGCCCTGGTGCTACTCCCCATATCACTCAGCGCACCACTACTATTACTGGTGTGACTACCGAGGACGGCGGCGGACTTGCCGCTGCGCCGCGAGGACGAGGAGCCATAGGGATTACGGTTACGGCGGCGGCGGCGTTTGCGGCGGTCTTGGGAGTGGACCGTCGTGGTCGAGGAAGAGGTTGTGGAGGATGAGGTGGTTGTGGGGGAGAAGAGGGGGCCGAGGGTGAGGATGTTGGATGTGGTTAGGGCGAGATTTTGTTCGAGGCTGAACGGGGTGAGTGGTTAGTAGAGGGGGGTTAGGAAGTGGTGGGTGGGACATACTTGGCCATGAGCGAGGCATAGAAGAAATGCACCGTGTATATGCTGGTGTCGGTAGTTTGAGAAGTCTGCGCGGTGCGGACGATGACAAATACGCCCGAGCTATGGGATTCTAGTTAGCCACCGAAGGTCGAGAGACCCCCAGACAGAAAAGCCTTACATGAAACCCAGAACAGAGGTTGCATAAAATGGCCAGGCCGCTTGCCGACCCCGGGCAAGATCGCGGATGATGAGCATCGAAAAGAGCGCGAGGAAGACCCAGGAAAACACCGAGAACGCTGTCCGAGTTAGCCTCATAACAAACACCTCCCAGTAAATAAAAGATACATACCTCCCTGCGCATACCCAAACCCCGTCTGAATCGCCGGATCCGCACAACTCCCCACCACCGCACCATCCCACACCTTCGCCAGCGGCTGACACCGAAGATACACCGCCAGCGCCAGCGCCAAGTTGGTCGCGGCCATCAAAATAATCAGGCCCGCGAGGAGAACCTGCCACTGCCGCGCCCGCGCCCGCTTCAACAGGGCCATGAAGAACAGACAGATCGAGATCTTGCTGAGCGTGACACTGACCAGGTACCAGGGCTGGCCGATTACGTTGAACATCATCGCGCGGGGGCCGTCGGGGGCGGTGCCTTCGAGGACGCCGAAGATGGTTGCGAGGAGGGCTATCACCTGTTTGATGTCAGATATCACTCTTCTTTTTTCCTTTAGGTTTGGCCTGAGGCAACTCACCGTCGCCACCCCGCTCACGTAGTCGTCCCCCCGCAACCCGCCATCGATGCCCCGCCGGGCGTAGAAGCGAACAAACGTTGTGACCAAGGCGAAGCCGGCGGTAGCTAGAGAGAGGGATAGAAGGACAGATCCTCGTGAAAGGTCTGCCGCTGCGGCCATCATCGAGTCAGCCATCATAGGGTGAGTCCGAGCTGAGGCTCGTTATGTGTGAGACATCCGGCTTTGAGGACGCCTCGTCATACTCGGGTTGCCGGTTCACAAACAAGAGTGTGGCCTCGATGTATAAGCAGAGGAAACAATTTGCACACGTAAACGCAGGTACGTGTTGACGTATAAGGGGAGTAGTGTGTGGTCTAAGTCAGATAGTCAGGAAGAGAGAGAAACAGATGAACGGCCTCGCCGGTGTCAAACGGCTGACGGGTAATACCCGGGAAGCGTTTGTCGAAGCGCCGTTGGGCGATCAGAACGGGTCCGAAACCACGGAGGGGTGGTTACCAGAGAGTGTGTGGTCCCGGGACCTGTGGCTTGCCGGGGGTACCAAATCTGGGACCGGCTACACGTGTAGGAGGGGAGCAATATGTGTGCGTTGAATTCCATGGGGGGTCCCTTTCCATTTCCGTGGTCCTCACTGAGGATGCAATGGACGATGGTCAAGCATCACGATGGAACCCCAAGCCTGCCTTGACCAGGTGCGGAAGTCGAACCCCGGCAGCGGATCAAAGACCCCTTCTTTCCATCTTCTTCTTCCCTCTCGTCATATCGGGATAACAGGATCCCATCCCGACAAGCACATCAGCCCAACCGAGCCGAATCAACGACACGGCAACCCCGCCCTCGATATGAGAATACACAACCAACAAACGTGGAAGCCATGAGAAAATAGCCTAATGGGAATCCGAATGAGGGAATCAAGTAACAAAAAGGGACGATCACAACCCGCGGAAGCAGGCCACAAGAAGTCGCTAGCAAACGACTGGTCCATACAACAGACAGCGCACGCGACATGCCCCGGCCGAGACCCGTGGTAAATGCGGGTTTGATTCATGCGTGAGCCCTTCTGCTACCGTCGTTGTTGTCTTTGGCTTCGGAAAGTAGATCAGGAAAAGTAAAAAAGAAAACGGCCACCAAGTCCCGAGCATGGCTGGGCCTGCAGGGAGACTAGCCTCTCATTGGGGCGACGGGAAGTCCGTGAAACGTGGTCCTGCTGCGAGCGATCGCCAATGCCACGGGCTACAGCAGCGTGGGACTTGTTGGTTGACACGTGCATGACGGGAGAAGGGATGGAAGCTTTCTTTGGAGGGGCGGGAAATATATTGATTGAGATTAGGCCAAAATAGGCGGCGAATGTTGCAATTAATACAAGGAATTATTGCGGACAGCCAAAAGGTCAAAAACAAGGAAATTCTCTGACCAAAAGGGAGAGAGAAGAATGCACAGTTAAAATCACATCAGCCTTCAAGAAGGAAACTACGACCCGTCAAGCATAACCTCACCGCCAAACCAATCACCCATCGCAGTGCAGCGCAAGGAAAGGAAGAAACTAAGAAAGAGCGACCCCCATCCCACTTCCCTCACTCGTAGCCCCCAAACCGCCCTCCCGTCCCATTCAGCCATTGATTCCATTCCATTTCGAGGTGTGCGTTCCATTTACTCCGAACCCGTTCCACTTACCGCCTTGTACACCCACCAGTACACGCAGCGCATAAACAACCTTCCCACCCAGCCAAACGTGGAAGCCCGCTTCCAGGGGCCGGAACCAAGGTTACAGTTACAGTTGCAGTTACAGTTGCAGTTGCAGTGGGCGGTTCTGTTCCCTTGTTGTTTTGACGCCTGGAAGCGTGTGATCGTCCCAATCGAAGGTTTATGGAACACTCTGTGACAAGTGCACGGTCCCCCCCTCTGTTAAGTTCGGAGCATTCAATTATAGACGGATGCTTTGACTGGAAGCGTTTCTCGTTAAGCGAGGAGCTGGGTTGGGCGCTTCCAATGAGCTGGGATTGGGTTGAGGTGTGAGGTGAGAGGCGAGAGGTGTGGTGGCTGGGGTTGTCCTGCAGTGTTATGGTAGTTATTGTATCATCGGAGCGCATAGTGAGATGCTTGTTGTGTTGACGGGCCCTCTCAAAACCGTGGTGTTTTAATTTCTTTTTTTGCTGTGCTAGTCTTCGTCATGTAATTCTCCCTTTCTCTCCTGTCAAGTATAACTGCAAAGGCGAGGCGATGGGCAGCATTAAACGCTGCCTTCGCTGATCGACGTTTGATCCAACCCGAAAATATAAATAGATAATTAGATGATCCAACACGAGTGTATCTACACTGAGGGATGCTGTTTGTATTTGTAAATACACCGGGACGAGAGCAAATTCCAGGCATACGAGCATGCATGACAGAATCGATGTGATCAGTAGCTCTCACTCTCCGTTCAAACAGATGGGGGGTTTTCTGTTCTTACTTGAGAGAATCCAACCCCCATATCATACCTGAAACCCATCTTCTTTTTCAGTTTCTCCTGAGCTTTGGGGGATCCCATCCCCGTATAATCCCAAATTTCCCAGCTGTTCTATTTCTTCCAAGCTCAGGAGCGAGGATAACACCACATCATACCCAACCCAATGAATGCCCCGAGATGGCCAACCCACTAGTTATTCCTATATTCGGCCATGGCCATATATATTCCTGTTGAGATCAAACAAATATGTTTTTATGGTGATGTAGACCTACTGATCTTGCCCATCTCGACCACCTTAAATGGGTCCCAGTTCTTTCTTCAAGCTCACTAGCTGTACGGATAGAATGAAGGTGATTTTAGATCTTAGATCTTAGATCTTAGGCCCAGTCAATTCCTGCTGATATCCTCCATGACCTGACTTTCCATAGACTGGCCGTTTCTTCCCTTGTCATCCATCGTATGTACATCCAGTCCACCATATGCCAGGATATCTTATTTACACTTTTACACACAGTACTATTACACAGGCCCCCCACCCTCTGGTACATGTACCTCACTCAGCCCCATCATTGCCGTCGTGATGTGATCGTGGTTATGCCAACGGTTCCAGCCCCCCCCACTGTTTAGTTTTAAAATCCGGCCAGCCCTTGAATCCTGTATGGGTATATATACAGCGCCCTCCAGCCTTAACCAATCCAACACTGCCCTGCCACCCAACCAGCCGAGAACAACCCGTCTATGCTACCGTCTATCACGTCTACCAACAATCCCCCCCAAAAACTCCACCATCCACATCTCCTCCCTCTCCCCCAACACCCATCTCGCCTTCAACGCATCATACACCGCCAAAACCCTCTCCCGTCCCGAGCACTTCGCAAAAGCCCTCAAAGCCCACACCGCCAACCACATCCGAATCTCCACCCCCTCCGCATGTCCCCCATCCAACGCATCAAGCAACGCATTCCAAATCCCCAACAACCGCTTCTCACTCCACGCCGAGCGGGGGACCCCGCCGTGCGTGGCGAAACCTTTGAAGAGCGCCAGGAAGATGGCGTGGTGCAAAGGGATGTGGAAGAATTTCATTTCGTCGATGTAGGACGCGGCGCGGGCGAGGTTGCCGCGTTTGACGCCGTAGTGGTTGACGAGGATGCGGTAGGTTTGGATGTCCGGGGTGAGGGGGGTCAGGCGTTGGAGGGTGGCGTGGGAGGAGGGGTGGCGGCGGGCGATTTTGGCGAACATGAGGAGGGCTTGGGTTACGGCGCGGTCGGAGGTGGGCGTGCGGATGGGGATGCTGCTGGGGGTGCCGATGTTGCTGCTGCTGCTGCTGCTGCTGCTGCTGGTGTTACTGGTGGTGGTGCTGCTGCTGTTACTGGTGGTGGTGGTGCTGCTGCTGCTGGTGTTGGTGTTGTCGATGTCACTTTTGTCGTCGATGTTGCCGTCGTGGTTGTTACCGTAGTCGTCATTCCCATCATTGGTCTCAGGGTTGGTCTCAGAGCTAGTCTCAGCGCCGGCCTCACCAAGCGTCACCTCCTTCATACGCGCATACAACTTCTCAGCCGGCCCTTCTTCCCCCGACCTCAACAGCCCCCCAATAACCGCATTCAGCACCACCGTATCAATCATCTCCCCCGCAAGGACCATCTCCCGAAACGCGGCGCGCACCCCGCTGGTCTCGTGCTTCAACCCAAAGAAATGGATCAGACTGGTGTAGTGGTAGCGATTATAATAGTGCCCGCGCGACTCCATCTCACGGTAAATCATCTCGGCGAGCACAAAGTTGCCCGCCTTGCAGGCGACATCAAACAAGATGTTGAAGGTGACGTTATTGGCCTGAATCCCCGCGTCGACCTCCATCTCGCGCCACAGTTTGAGCGAGGCCTCGACCTCGGTCTCGCGCACGGCGCCGACATAGCGACTCGCAAAAGCGATGGTGCAGTTCCACTCTGCAGTCGTCAGCGGAATCCCCGTGTTCTTGACGTCGGCAATGACCTCGAAATACCGCAGCATGGAGGCCGGGTCGCGGTGTTGCGATGTCGGCTGGCCGAGGGCGCGCAGGAACTGGTGGCGCAGACGGGCGTGGATGTACAGCATGCGCGGTTCCGGCACGCGCCGGTAGATGTCGTAGAGGCGGTCGAGGGCGATCTTGTGCGGGCTGCGCAGGCGGGTCAGGACGGCGAAGCGCAGTTCCCAGAGGGCTTTTTGGTCTTCTTCGCGGGGTGAGATGACTTGGTCGAGGTTCGGGTAGTCGTGGTCTTCGGTGCTGCGCACGAAAGTGAAGTGCTGGGTGTCGGGCTGGGCGTAGCCGCGCATGTAGGGGTCGCGGATGTACTGGAGGTACTCGTCGACGGGGCCGATCTCTTCGTCATCGTAGGGTTCGATGAGGTCGAGCAGTTCTTGTTTGGTCAGATTTTGGGTTTGCCGCCTGCGCTTGCGACGTGGAGGAGGGTCGGGGGTTGTTGTCGGTGTAGTCGGTGTTGTTTCGTGGGTTTCGTGGGTTTCGCGAGTTTCGTGGGTTTCGCGAGTTTCGTGGTATGTTGGGTAAGGGATCTCGTGGTTAAAGTCTGAACTGGGAGGAGGACACTCGACAGCCGCAGCGGTATGTGTCGCGTAGGGCCCAAAGGCAGAGGGGCCAAAGGGGCTGCTGAAGTGGGCATGGGCGTGGGAGTGTCTCTGCGGGAGCGTGACACGGAGGGCCGGCAGAGATAGCAGCGAGCGGTGGTTTGGCCCGGAAGTTGGAGAAGCTCTGGCCGTGTGTCCATGTCTCTGTCTGTGACAATTGCTCGGTTTCGATTTGTCCCCCAGCAAGACGCTGCCGATGCTCCCAAAGCCCCGTGTCGAACGAGTATGTCCATATTGGCCGTGGAAACCCGGACTAACCCACGCTCCACCGGGGTTATAACCAACCGAACCGGCCGGAATCGGCAGAGAGGCCGTAGCAGCCGTAGCGGGAGTGGTGACAGGTGAGGCAGACCGGTTCGACGACGGCGAGGGACGGTGGTGCTGCAAGAGGGGGAGGGCGCCGCATATCGACCCGTCAATTCGGCTGGGGACTCTCATGAGCTGTGGTCCAACATGGTGGCCTGCCGTCTACCCAGCCTCTGGCCCCGAATGCAGGCGGTCCTTGCGGCAGTCCGGGGCGTGTGTGTCGGGAGAGGTCGGGGGTGTAGGCTGCGGGAGGGCACACACGTGGTGTGGTGTTGGTGTTGAGGCCGGAACTTTACATACCCTAGATAGGTAGTAAAGCCGCGAGAAAAGTCAAGTCCCGCTGAAGTGAGAGCACAGTGGGGGCTTCAATGGATGTCTTGGCATTTCGGTGGGGGACAAATTTTGGCCGTGCTCAGTCCAATCTCAGCAAAATTTAGTGGGGCATTTGAGCTTCTGCCCCACTTGCATGCCGGCTCAAGCTCGAAATTTACAATGAGAACCGAGAACCGGACCCACCATTGCTGGACATACGATTTCGATATTCAACTTTTGAAAAGACCACGACGCCAGGCCAGAGCAGGGACAGCGCGCATACCACCGAACGAGGACGTCTTCCACAGTCTCGCCACGTGCACTATGACGACCAATTGACCGAACGAGACCCCTCTAAACCGAACATCCCAACCTCGAGAGAACAAGAGAGACAACACCAAAATCAACCACCACCAAGTAGAGGGGGAGAGGGGGGAAATCCAAGAAGAAATACGCATAAGAGATAGGGCAGAACGAGTCCCAGAGAAAACAAAATGGTCCGCGGCCGCAAATTCACCGCCGCCCTCGTCTACAACACCGCCCGCGCCCGCGCGGGCGAGCCCATAATCCCCGGCCGCGCCGCCCCCGTCCCGCCAGCCTGGGTGCACGCTTTACGCAACATCCCGCCCTCCGAGGTCCTCACCCGTCCTTATCCAGTCCAACATGCACCGCCTCCCACTTCGCGCGCGCCCAAACAACTCAAGACGGGCGTACCGCGGAATATGTTCCGGCCGCAGCGGATCGTGCACCCGGAGGATCAGTTACGACAGGAGTTTTTTAGGGATCATCCGTGGGAGTTGGCGCGGCCGAGGTTGGTGGTGGAGTTGGATGGGTTGGATGGTAGGAGGAGGGATTGGGGGAGGGGGTTGAGACAGCCGGGGATGGCTTTGAGTGGGGAGAGGTAATCTTTTTCTGTCTTTTTCTCTACCCTGACAATTATAAAGGATATCCATGGCTAATAACTGGTTGGAAACAGCGTCGTCCAACGCCAACTCTACCTCATGGAAGTCACCGGCCTGTCCAAAGAAGCCGCCTACGACCAAGCACGCAAGGAGTTCTACAAGCTGCGTCAGCAGGAACAGATCGAGCGGCGCGTGGCTGTTGAGGAGGCGCGTATGTATGGGGCGTATTTTGGGAAGAACAACCTGCAGGTCGGCATGCAGCTGGAGGATGCGTCGTATGACAAATGGCTGAAGTGGGCGGGCGAGGAGATTGCCAAGGTCGAGGCGATGCAGCAGGCGGCGTATGCGAATGTCGTGGATGTGGCGGAGGGAGAGGGGGAGGAGGGAGAGGAGGAGATTAAGTTGTAGGCATGTGTGTCAGTGGGGAACGATCAGTTAGTTGGGAAGTGCCTGTGTGTAAATGTATGTTATGATAAATAGACGATGTGCATGTTTGCATCAGGAGTGTCATGTCTCTGGTTTGGAAGGGTGATTCTGTCTTTTCAAGGTAGTAGCTCGTTGACTGCTGTTGTCTAAATCAGGCAACACACGCAATAAATCCACGCAGAGCTTCTCGTCCGTCTCGGACCGCATAGGAGCATAAAATCAGGGCGTTTAAATCAAGACCCCCCAACCCCCCTATCCCCCCCTTAACAAACACAGCAGCCCATCCACCCCTTTGCCTCTTCCTCCTCATCATCACCCTCCTCCTCATCATCATCAACCTCCTCATCATCATCATCAACCTCCTCATCATCATCATCACCCTCCTCATCATCATCACCCTCCACCTCCTCCCAAACATACTCCTCCCCCCTCACCATCCCTTCCCAATACCCCCTCACCCACCTCCGTTCCCTCTCCCTCATCCCCTCCACCACCTCCCTCCCGACCCCCAACCGTTCCAACACCGACTCCCTCCCACACCACTCCGCCGCCGGCAACTAACCCGGCGGTGCCAACCGTGCCGCCACCTTCCCCACAAACAACAGCCCCCGGCCGGGATACCTCTTCAGCAATCCCTCATGCTGCACACAAAACGAGTCGGCCAGCCCCGTCCAGAGAAAGAGTCTCCCTGTAAGGCTCAGGGAGCGACTACGAGCCCAGGACTCGATGTACACCATCTTAAGGCGGTTTTGCGGGGCGAGGTAAAAAATCTTGAGGAGGTGGGCCACGAGGCAGACGATGAAGCCTGTTGCGGGGCCGTTGGTGATGATGACGTGGGGGTATTTGAAATGGGCGTGATAGCGGGATGCGGGGCGGTCGTTGGGTTCGCGGGTTAGGGCGTTGATGGCGTGGATGGCGGTTCGGAGGGAGCTGAAGGGGGCGGTGAGGAGGGGTTGGTGCACGCGACGGGCGCGGGGGATCAGGAAGGCGTCGTGCGTGCCTGCTGGAGTGATTATCTCCTCGTTTTGGGCAGGGGTGAGGTCTGGGTTGGGACTGGGACGGAGGCAGTTGAAGATGCGGGTCTCGAGCTGGGCGACGCGGCGGAGGGAATCGTCGTCGCCGTGGGAGACGAGGTAGCGCCGGTGGGCGTTGGTTTGGGGGATGAATTTGCGGCGGATGGTTTCGAGCATCTCGGAAGTGTGGCCGCCGGAGCCGAGGATGTAGAGGTAGTAGACGGCGGGGAGGTTCGAGGTGTTGGGGACGCGAGGCTCGCGCCGGGAGATCCAGCGGCGGCCGGTTGAGAGGGGGGGGTGTGAGCTTTGGAGGGTGAGGTGGCGCCACTATACAGTCAGAAACAGGCAGTTCTTGGACGAGTACTTGAGGGAGCGAGACAGCATTTTACTTACGACGACGAAGCCGAGAAACACATTGATGATGGCGACGATCCACGACCAAGACAACAGAAAAAACGCCACGACGGAAACAACGGCGATCCCGCCCAGACCGGCGTAGACATAAGTAGCGAACCGGTCGGGCCCAAACTCGTGGAGCATCTCCCGTATCTGCTCCATCTCGGCGTCAAGAGTCGGGCTGGAACCCGAGCTGTGTTGTGCTAAAGGTTGTGCTGCGACTTGGCGATCGCCATCCAGCAATGGCCGGTCATTTGGATGGTTGTGGGAGGAAGTTTGTTGATTTGGTTGCGCCGTGTTGTTTCCTTCCTGTTTCTCGGAGATCGACCCCTCGCTGGGTGCGGTTTTATGCGGGTCCACGGGTCTCGGCGGCATGATGTCGTCGCCGAGCCTGCCGGCCTGAGGTGAGGTGTGGTTTGGTGGTGTTGAATCCGGCCGTTAAGGGGTAGATTCAGGGGCACTCGACAACACTGGGGAAGTGTCCCTGTGACAACGGCCGAGTTTCCCCTGCGAATGTGGAATAAAGAACAGAAGGTAAGCGGAATAAAAAACAGGTGGCTCTGTTCTGTTGATCTGAGAGGTGGATGAGCCTCAGAAAAGTGATGTGTCGTCTTCTTTCTTCAGTTTTGGTTCAAGCTAAGACACAGTCTAGGGTTGCGAGTTGACGATGCAACTGTCGCTACTTCGTGCCTAACTGATGATTAATTCAGCTGAACCGTGATATCGGACAATAAACTGCTTACAATTATGTGTTTGTGATCCCAAGTCAATTAAGGGTAGAATTCATCCAGTCAACCCAAATCTTCATTACATGAGCCGAGCTAAAAGCCGTTTGTAGATTTAGACAATTAACGTTGGATGAAACAATTGCCTGTTCAAACTGGCCACTTTGAACAAATTCCTGAACTCCTTGATGAAAATGACAAGTCTTGAGTCTAGATTGTGTTTAATTCCTCAGTGAAATTAAAAAGGTAGTTAAAATCTCTAGTGCCGTTAAATTTAAAGAGTGTTTGTCCGTGACTTTCGACCTGTGTTTTCAGTTGTTGAATTCCAAATGATGCCAGGTGGTAATTGTCCGATGGATTCACTTACACCCGACGCCAAAACAAGATGTGGTCCGTGCACACCGCGCTGCGCGTTCCAGCGGGGCCTGGCGTGCCTGACAGCGCATGCACCCGGCAACAGGAGTGCACCAATAGGAGCCCGGCGCAAGACAGCGCAGACAAGCTGGAAGCACTAGAAATCACGACCGCCCGGCAGAATCTTGGTCCAGACTCGACTTGCAAACCAAAGAAGAAAAGAAAGCGGACAGAAAACACGACCTCGAGATTTGAACGATCTGAAATTCACAACCTCGGCGCTTGCATGATATAAGCAATTAAAGCTTCATTTGTTCTTTATACCACGCCGCCCTAGATGCCCGCATTCTCAAAATCACCGACAAGATGCCGCGGCTTTCTCGCAAACGATGCCTGACGTGCTTCTACTGCGGCCGCAAGAACGCGACCGTGTACGATGGCCAGATCCGCCGCTTTGAGTGTCCCTTTTGCGATGCCACCAATTATCTCGACCAGGTCTGTTTTCTCCTGCATTGTTTACTCCGCTAATAAACAATCCCCGTTACCCGCTACCGGCTTTCCGCTTCCCCCTTCCGCTCACCTTCCACTGACCTTCCGCTGACATGGATACAACAGAACGGCGACATCACCGACCCGCCCGTCGCAACCGAAAAAGAAGCCACCCCGCGCCAATACGCCATGTCCCGCGCCGTCTCCCCACCTCTAAGCCCCCCAGGCCACAACAACCCTCACAACCTTCACCAAAACCCCAACCAAAAACAAACCACCTTCTGCGCAACATGCCTCAAAAACCAACACCTCCTCAGCGCCTCCCTAGCGCAATACCTCCCCGACCCCGACGACCCGGACTACGCCGAGCGCGAGCGCGGCCTCTACCGCTTCCGCCGCCGCCAGGAAAAGCTCTACCCCCAAATCTGCGCCGACTGCGAGCCCTGGGTGCGCCAGCGCCTGGCCCAGGCCCAGTATACCGCCAAAGCCGATGTCCTGCGGCGCATGCTGGACCGCAGCGCCATCGCCCGACGCAACGGTGCCACGCGCCGCGGGTGGCTGGAGAGGGTGGATTCTGTCGGGAAGTGGTTGTGGATGGCCGGGTTTGTGCTGCAGGTGCTGTGGCATGTGGCTGTGGTGCATGATCGGCTGGCGCGGTATTTGGCGTGGGCCGGCGTGGATGAGGGGTTGTTTACGGTGCGGTTGTTGAAGGTGTGTGGGCCGGTGGTGAGGAGGTTGCCGGCGGAGGAGGAGAGGTTGTTGAAGTGGAGTCTGTGGGCGAGTGGATTTGGGTGTTGGTGGAATCCGCGGTTTGCGCAGATTGTCAGGGGGTTTACCAGACATATCAGCGGGGTGTCGAAATGGTACTTTTTCCAAGCCTTGGCTGTGTTGTTGAGGTTTTGTCTGCAGAGCATGGACTGGGACACGCTGGATCCGCTGGGGCTGAATCGGCTGCTGGCTGTTCATGGCGTTACTTTTGTGTTTGCTTTGCTTGTAAGCTCCCACACTTCTCCCACATTTCTACTCCTCGGTTTGTCTGTAGGTACATATGTTGACATGCATCTAGATCTTCACGTCTGCCCCCCGCGCCATCAAAATCAACATGGCCCCCCTGTTCAGCGCAACCGAGAAACCACCATCGCTCCACGCCAACGAAAACGCCGACGACTCCGACACCGCCGACCCAGCCCCCGGCTCTGCGACTCGGGCCCTCGACGAAACCAGAGCGATAGCCGCGCTCCTGGACGAAATCTCCCGGTCCCCCACCAACACAACCCCCCCTTCTCCCGTCCTCGACGCTTCCCCGTCTATCCCGAGGCGCATCAGCAACTTCCTCCCCATGGGCCACACCCACACCCAGGCCGCCCAAGCCCTCACCGCTAACCTCCAACAAATCGACCACCTCCACCTGCGCGGCCCGGCGGACAGCGACAGCAACTACACCCCACCACGATACGCCCGTAACCACCCCCCTAGCTCTCCGCCACCATATACCGCCGCCGCCGAGGAAATGGACTGGTCCCCAACCCCAACCACCTCCTTCGTCGCCTCCTCTCCCATCCGTCCCCCACGCACTATCACCAACTGGGGAAACACCCGGCCGTCCGCCCACCAACAACCCGACCACCCCCAACAAAACCAAGACATGAGTATGACCTCAACCCACCGCGCCTTCGCCACCCGCGGCCAACGCACCACCCAACCCTTCGGTTCCGCCCCCATCGAAGAACGGCCCGGGCCCTTCTGGTACCGCGTCCCGCCTGCGCCTACGACCCCGGCGCAGCGTGTGTTTAATCCGCCCAATCAGCCGCGTTTGAGGGCAAGGGGGTCGGGGGTGAGTCCCCCTGGTGCTGATACCGAGGCGGCTACGCGGCGGAACTTCTTTGGGGGTGGGAATGGCAATGGGAGGACGAATGGACGTATTCGGGGGGGGGAATTGGTTCCTGTTTCCAGTAACGATGATCATGATGGCCATGGGGAGGACTATGACACACCCATGACGACGCACTTCACCAACTCCCAAACCCAAACCCAATACCAACATCCCCAACAACAACAAAACAACTACCAAGAAGTCGCCTTCCCCGAACCCCGGCTCTTCGCTGCTAACTTACTCAACCATAACACCCATAATACCCAGCACAGCCCTGGGAACGGTACCAGGAACGGTACCGGGAACGGCCATGGCCAAAGTCCAAGAAGAGACCAACAACAGCGATGGAACGACCCGCGGAATGAGTTGTCCGGGTTGTTTGGGTCTGCTTTTCAACTGGGGGATCGGGAGGCTGCTGAGAGGCCGACGACCAGTAATAGCAAGGCAGGGGGGAGTTGGTGGGGGAGGATTGTTGGTGGTGGTGCTGGTGGTAGCAGTAACGGTGATGGAGGGGATGAAGCAGATGGAAGGCGTGCCGATGGGTTTGATGCTGGGGATGATGGCGTTGACTCTGGAGCTGTGGTGAGGGTTGGGGGTTCGTTTGGTGCTGGTACTAGTGTTGGTGCTGGTGCTACCGCGGGAGAGAAGCGGAGGGTGATGACGAGGAGGAGGAGGGTGTAAACGAGAGAGGAAGGAAATTAGAGAGAAGAGAAGTGCTACCCTCATTAACCCACTTCGCTACCTCTCTACCTCGCCCTCTTTTACACCCTCAAACGCCCTGCACATATACAGCGTCTCTACACCCTCCCTGCACCCGCCGGATGAACACGCAACCTGCCCTGCATATACAGTGACCCAATCGTTGGATGGCCGTATTGTTGGATGGCCCGGTGTTTGGATGGCTCCCTGCTTGGATGGCTCGCTGCTTGGATGGATGGATAGATACCTCCCCAGATACCTGATATCCATCCGAGGCCCCTGTATTTTGTTCTGTCCTCTTTTATCCTCTTTCTCTCATCTCATCAGCCCATCCTGGGTAACCCACTCCTGTTGACATCTCCCCTTTTTCTTTTATATTTCCCTCTCTTTTCTGTTCTCTCCTATCTTAGGGTCACACATGTTGGGTCGGCGGCATTCGCATTCTCATTCACATTCGCATTCGCATTCGCATTCACATTGTCTTTATTTTTGTTCCCCGTTGTATCGGCGTTGTATTGCATTGTACGGCATGGACGGCGCAGGGGATTTTGTTAATTGTAACCTATTTGTATTTGTCGGGATACGCATGGTTGGTATTGTGCACAAGGAAGAAACAAAAGGGCAAACATCAAGCGGATTGTGAGGAGTATAAACAGTGGGATGTGGAATGTGGGATGTAACTAGTAACTAGCATGCTGGGTGTATTATACAGTCGAATCGATTTGTTTCATGTATTCGACACCGAGTATTTCCTGGTCTGGTCTGTGAACACGTACTTTTCAATGAATAATGATTGCTTCAGAAAGCTACTACCTGACCTATACACAACCCTCCTTGATTCTCTTCACCGTTCCCCAACTCCTCACAATTCCATGCCCGCTGATCCTCACATCCAAACCAGTCAGTCCTCATCTCGTGCAGAAAACGGGCAGTTCCCTCTCCAGTCTCTTTGCCCGCGCTACCAACACGTCCAAATCCCCCTTAGGCCTCTCCCCATGAAATCAGGAAACTAAAGAATGTCACCCTGCGCCACCGGAATATTACTTGACCCCGGGATTTTCCCAGAAGTCTGGGTGTCAAAGCTTGGCCTTACTCGGAACCCTGGGATTCAAACGAAAAGTGCTCCTGCGTGGTCATAGTAGTTCCTTCAGGCCAGGGCATAGAAGCAGGCTCATCTGACTGTTCCTGAGATACCTGTTGAGTCTCTTTTTCCATGGAATCACGGATCCGTTGGACAGTTTGTTCGTAGAGGTCAGCCAGGAGCTGCCGGTCTTCATCTGAGACATTTGTTAGAAATTGGCCAAACCGGGGACGGCGGTCTTGTTGTTTCTCCTGCGGAAGCCCGGCAGCTGGGTCCTGTTGCGGAGCGTGGGTCTCTTGAGATTGAGGGTGCTGGGATGGCGGGGCCTGCTGAACTTGAGGCTTCTGAATGGGCTGATCCTTTGTAGCGAGGGCATTCTGGGCAGACTGGGCCTTTTGAGGTTGAGCCTTCTGAGTAGGTTGGGCCTTGGTAGCGGGAGCGTCCTGGGCAGGCTGGGCTTTTTGAACTTGAGGCTTCTGAGTAGGCTGGGCCTTTGTAGCGGGAGCAGGCTGGGCCGGTTGAACTCGAGGCTTCTGAAGAGTCTGGCCCTTTGTCGCGGGAGGGGTCTGGACAGGTTGGACCTTTGGAGCGGGAGGATTCTGGAAGGACTGGACCTGTTGAACGGAAGGATTCTGGAAGGACTGGACCGGTTGAACGGGAGGGCGTAGTAGAGCCGGATTTGGTGGTTTGCCTTTCACTGCGCCGAGCTCCAGATGTAACCGCGCCAATGTAGCGTGGTACACCTCATATGCCCTAAGGACCCGCCTGTTTTGTGTATCTAGGGCTTGCTGGTGGCCTTCGGTACGCTGAGATCGCAATATGTCGACCTCTTCACAAGTTTGACGACATGCCAAGGCAAAATCCTGCGCCGCCCAAGTAATCCGTTGGAGTTCCGAACCCTCCTTTCGTCGGTGGGCCTCGCCATACTGAGGACGCTGTCTCTGTTGTTGAACTTGGGCGCGGGATATTGGGATGCTGCCCCGTAAAGCTTGACTTGTCTGCGGAATCCCATCGCCCTGGAAACCATGGGTCTGTTGTTGAGCCTGAACAGGCTTAATTTGGGTTGTGTTTTGTGAGGTGGCAAGATGATTCGGAGCTAACTGAGAAGGCAACGGCTGCGGTAAAGCCTGACCTTGCGGTTGAAGGGGTTGAGTATACTGCAAAGGCTCAACTGACCTGAGCGACGGGTCTATGTTAGACTCATCACGTGGTGGGAAGTCGGTAACATATCGAAGTGCTTCCAGGCTGCTAAGTATCTCGGGCGTCAGAATCTGTTCTGACTCCGCATCCGGAAGCTCAGAGTATGGCACAGCCGTATTTGACCCTGGATTCTGTTGTTCTTGCGGCGCTTGCTCTTCCTGGGGGATATGGACCTGGATGAGATCCTGCAGTTGTCCAGGCGGCATAAATCGGGTGGGTGCCGGCCGCTCTACATGGACCTCTCTCCCTCTCTCCCCCGGGGTTCTTCTCCTCGGTCCTGTTCTCCTCAGGGCATTCACCCGCGACTTTCCTCTGCTACCCACAATTCCTCCGCGTTGGGACGTATTCCTTCGTACGTCAAGCTTCTGACGAATCTCAGCCACGTCCAGCTTAGAGATGGGGCTTCCGATTCTAACGAGTTCAGCTGTTTCCCCACAGCTGGAAGGGGAAGGCAGTGGCGGCAGGGGTGAGCAGATTAAGGAATTCCCATTGATCCCAGTGATAATGTCCGTATTGCCGCTGTGGTTGAGGCTTTCCGGGCTGAGTATCCCTATTGGAGGTTCCGGAATGGTTTGGCCAGGCCCGGGTGGTGGTCGGTTTTGGGCGGAGGAAGCCATGGTCTATGACAAGGGAGTGGTGTATGAGAGTCTGAATCGTAAAAGCAGATTGGATTGCTAAACACTGTAGGAAAGAATATCTGAGACGTTAAAGAACAGAATAAAGACGGTCGGCAAGTAAAATCCGAGCCGTGTATCTCGGGCGTAAAAAGATACGGGTTTCATGCTGTGTAAAAGGATCTTCCGAGTGTTGAAACGAAATGTGTTGCTGTCTCGGTGTTGACAGGGAGGCCTAGCCGTCTGCAACGGCTATGGTATGCGGTAAAGTGAGAGAGGTACTCCCATAGCACGGTGAGTCCGACGGACATGATGGGAAGGAGCTCATAGCATCAACAGGATAGTCAACCGGACAGCCAACCGGATGGCGTTAATGGGAGAATTGTGGGACTAGAGTCCTTACAGAGGAAGGAACTATCCTGGGGGTCGCCGAAACTCGTGACCATAGTGGAGTTGTCCAAACAGATATGTGGAAGGCGCCGCCCTGAAATGGTAGGACCCAATCTTACCGAGTTCCAATTCCTCTCCTGTTTGCAATACCCGTAGACAATTTCCTTCCGAGCAAAAAGATGAAATTGCACCAATTCCCAAGCCAGCGCTCAACTTAAAACCCAGCAGATAATCCCCAGCCCAAAATCAATCCCTCAACCGATCCCTCAACATCCCAAACCGATCCACCCCCAACCCAAACCCCCCCACCACCCGTCCCCTCACAACCGCCATCTCCCTCACAACATCATAATCATCCAACACCGGCCACGTCCTCAACCTCTTCCCCCCATTCCCCATCCCCTTCCCACCCCCCATCCCCATCCCCTCCTCCCTAGCCAACCTCCCAACAACAGCCTGATTCAAATACGCCACCACCTCCTCAAAGCTCAACACGTCCGAAATCGGCAACAAATGCCCCGCTAAGAAGGCAGGGCTGTGGTGTGTGCGAGAAACGTAAGAGCGAGCGGCGGCGCAGCGGGCGCAGGTGTCGGTGGAGGAGGGAGTGTGCGGGAGTGGACGCGGGAGGGGGGGATGGCAGAGGGGACAGTGGAGGGCGAAGTTGGTGAGGATTTGGGTGCGGATTGGGAGGGGGGTGGTTGTTGTGTCTTTTTGGGGGGAAGGGAGAGCTGTGGGTTCTGGGAGGGGGAGGGGGGGTTTGGGGGTTTGGTTTGGTGGTGGTTGAGGTTTGAACAAGGGTGGTTGAGGTTGAGGGGTTGCTTCTGGTCGTGTAGCCCCGGGTTGTGGTGGTTGAGTACGGGTCGGAGAACGAGGTGCGGGTTTTAGTGTCGTGGTTTGGAATACCTCCTTGGGTACCAATTTTGGATGGGCCGGGATTGACTTCTTCGTAGGCACTGTTGCTCGTGCCTGTGGTTGTTGGTACGGCCGGTCCTCCTCCGGGTCCTCCTTCCCCCCCTCCGACTCCCAGTCTAGCTTAGCAAACCGGGGCTCGTCTTTTTGCAACCGCGGGTAGCTCTGGTCGTACACCGATGGGCTAACCAAGGTTTCGTCACCTTCACTTTCGAGATCATCGGGGATTCGGCGCAGCCATGATGACACGCGGGCGTTGGGGTTGTTGCGCGGGTGGAGGTTGCGCACCATTTTAGTTGGTGAATCGGTTACGGATCAATTGCGAATGAATCGAGGACGGACTGATGGGTGAGGCAGGTGATGAGCCGTTGATTTATGTTTTCGGCGAGAAATGTGCTGGGATGGATTCAAGACCGGCGACCGTATTTCAGCCGGCTGCCTTTGCATGAGGATGAGGGGTTGGTTGAGTATTTGCTTGATTTCCTAATCGGGAAGTTGCCCCAGAAACATGCGAGCCAATAAAGGGGCCAGCGGATATATCTCCCTGCAGCCTTGTCCGTATTGTACAACCACACCATACTCCATTGCTATCATCAATTCATTATTCGTGGGACATTACACACCCACACACGCACGTGCACCCTGTTAGGCCATCACTTCACCTTACTCATAACCGTCTCCGGCCCCCTCACCACATCCATCTGCGCAGCCCTCGCCTTAACAGCATTCAACATACTCCTTTCAAAATCATCCCTCGACCGCAGCACCGCCTCCACCCAACTAATCTGCAAGTCCCAATACGCCGTCTTAAACGCCGCAAACGTATCCGGCACGCCCTCCTTCTCCACCGACAACAGCTGCAAAAACGGCTCTGTCACCCGCCACGTCTCCTTGATGGCGTGGCTGACCGCCGGGTTGGGTAAACCATTGAAGAAATCAAACGCCGTCTTGAGATCGTCAAAGATCTTGTCCTGGAACTGGTCGGACCGGCGGAACTTGGCGCCCTTGTTGCGTACAGAGGATAGGTAGCGGATTAGTAGTTCGTCGGCAAAGATCTCGATGAAGATGTCGATTAGTGAGTGGTGCAGCACCTGGCGGTAGTCGCCGACGTATTCTTCGAGTGTGGCCACCATGCGCGCCATGGCCGTGCTGGTGTACCAGCGCGGGGTGAAGAAGTCGGGCATGACGGTTTTGAAGTCGACGGTGAAGACGAGCTGCGCGAACTTGGTGATGCACCAGGTGCTGAGGTCGAGGTAGCCGTCGCGCAGGGTGGCGACCTCGGCCTCGGCGCGGTCCATGTATTGTGGTGATACCATCGGGGTGAATTTCTTTTTGAAGTCGGTGAGGTAGGCTACGCGGCCTTCGTCCTCGTTGTCGTCGATGCACGCGATTTGGTCGTTGGCTGTGGCTACCAGCCAGTCTTGGAGTGGTTGGAACCCTTCCAGATCGACGACCTTGCCGGTTTCGTACCGCGCTGCTTCTTCCTCGAGCATCTTCTGCCATGACTGCTGGCGTTGTCGCAGGCGCTGGAACATGGCGTCTACCACGCCCTCGGCGACGTCGGCGCGCTTGGAGTTGGCGGCCGCGTCGAGCTGCCCGCGTAGCATGCGCCAGAGGTCGATCACGTTCTTGTTGCGGAAGTAGCCGTACTCGTCTTGGTCGAGGTTGCCGCCTTCGACGTTGCGGTCGGCGAAGTCTTTTGTTTCCATCGCCCAGATGCGGCCGATCCACTCGTCCAAAAACTTGATGATGAGGGCGCGGAAGTCGCGCACGATTTCTGTTTCGCGGTTGTCGATGACGTGGGGGGTGAGCTCTTCTTGCTTGAAGCCGAGCTTGGTCATCTTGCGGTAGTATTTCTCGGGCCAGCCCACAATCACCAGCGCGTGGGCCGAGCTGACCTCCTTGTCATCCACAAGCCCAACCAAAAAGTCGTGCATCATGCCGTGATAAATATCCGCCCACGTCTTGAAAATCTTCCACTTCTTCGGCATCAACTGCACCATCCCCAGCCGGACGGTGTTGAGGTCGTTAAAGAACCACCGCAGGCTCTTCTCCAGCTGCTCCGGGTCCTCCAAAAACTCCCCCCTGCTCTGCTCAAACTGGCCCTCCCCAATCTTGCGTATGCTCTCGAGGAACTTGTCCTTGTACCCGCGCACCGTCTTGGCACCGTCCGTAATGCTCTGAAACCGCGTAGCAATCTCCTTGTGGTCCTTGAGCGCCTCCTGCAGCGCGAGCACCCTCAGATCGCTCTTCTCCTCCACCTCCATAATCAGCGCAAACCGCACCACCAAACTCGTATTGTCCGCCACCACCAAATTCACCAGACTCCTCGCGATCAAACTTATATGCTCGTCAAACCACTCAATAACCTTGTCCAGCCGCTCAAAGTAGTCCTCCAGCGTCGATTGCAACCCCGGGTCGTCGGCCCGCTGGATCTGCTCGATAGCATCGTCCCGAATGTTCCGCAGCTGCGTCAACTCGTAATGCACAGCCAGCAAATTCGGCATATTCTCAGCATCGTTATCATCCTGCCGCAGCATCTCCTGGATGGCGCTCAGCCGATCATTAAAAGTCTCCAGATTCCGACGCATAGTCTCCACCGCCCCAAAATTCCGATGCGCCTGCGACACCAAGTTGATAGTCGCAAAATCCGTAATCATATTCTGCGACTCCGAGCAGATCTTATCAATCTTGATCATCTCGTCCTTGATCTGCTGCACCGTTTTCTGGCCATCACTCAGCCCATTCATGCCCGCCTGGGTGGTCTCGAGCTGCTCGCGCAGGCCGCCGCGGAGTTGCGAGTCGACGGCGGCCTTCTTGCGCGTGAACTCGGCCTTGAGCCCCGCGATCTTGTCGAGGTCGTCTGGGTGCCGGAGCAGCTCGGACAGCTTGACTGGCGGCACGTCCATGGTGGGTGTCCCGGCGGGGGGGGGAGGTTGGGCGTGTTCGCAGTTGGGGTTTTTTTCTTGTCTATCACACCATTTTTTGGGAATCGGGGGGTTGACGTCCTCCGCGCGGTCGGTCGGAAGGGCGGTCGGAAGGGCGGTTGGAAGCGCTGTCGAGGTTCGAGTGGTGGGGTGGAATGGGGAGAGTGGGAGGCTGTCAAGGTTCTTGTTGAACGGGCACATGTGGAAATACAGGGGCGCTTCAATGCGGTACCTGAAAGTGGCCCGTGCGTCACAAGCATGTCCGCGACGAGTGCCCCACATCATCAATGCAGGCTCAGATGGAGCTCAAAATAGTTGATCATGAAGGGCCTTTGAGGATATCCGGCTTGGAAAATACTAAGCAAGATCCAATGATGCCTCCATATAGAATGACAACTTTCAGGCCTCGCCTTCTCAAAAGTGCTCTACGTATCATGCCAGGGCCCGGGATGGAACTTGTTGGAGACAGCAAGGAGTCCCCAGGATCAAGTGTTGCTGTGTCCGATCCGGCATGGGGAGAAACTGTCTGCCAACAGGATCCCATCGGCTCACAAGCGTAGAACGCCCTCAAGCACCACAAATACGGAACACCCAACAGCAGATAACCAGTCAGAGTCAACCAAGGAAACAGTCGTCTTGACGTCTACTCTATCGACCTAAACCATATACACAGCCTCCCCCAGATAGAGCCAACCCACTCTGTATCCTTTTATTCTCTCCCTCCCAAATCCCAGGCCATCATCATCCCGTCATCATCCCGTCCCAATGCCAGGCCAGGTCCATAGTTTGCCTACGACGGCACGTTTATTTGGCCGGGTGGTTGTTCTGCCAGACTGTGCGGTTGTCAGCGTCCATACTAAAATTTCCCCCCAAGTACCTCCCCCTTCTACCCCAGCCCATCTCCTTCTCCCCCAAGCCCAAGCAAACCCAACCCTACCCCCCTAATGCTCCCCCCCATTTCCCCCCATCCACGACCCCAAACCCAACCCAGAAAGCCCTCCCCAAAAAAGAAAGAGCGGGGAGAAGAAAACCTACCACAAATAGCAAAAGGCAACCCAAACCCAGTCGCCATAAAGCCCCAATACTTGATCGCAAACCCCCGCTTGCGCGGGTTAAACGGCAGGTTGGACAGCGGGCCCTCGGGGTAGTGGTACGGCGAGGAGAGACGGGCGCGCGTGGTCGTGAACGCGCGGCGGGCGACCAGCTGCGCGGCGGCGGCTGTCGCTGGGCGGGTGACGGGGAGCATCTAGCGGGGGGGTATTGAGTTAGTTGGGGGGTTGTGGGTGTGGGTGTGGTCAATTGAGGGATTGATGGCTGGCAATTGCGGGGGTGGTTGGGGCCTTTGGTGGGGATAGTTGCAGGTTGGAGATAGAGAGTATAAAAATGCGCACCTTGATAGAGTGGAGAGTTTGCGTGGTAAGTCGTGCAAGTGGTGCGTCGACAGACAGTCGGTCGGAGTGGTAGTGGTGGTGAGGTGAATCTGGAGCTTGGTTTCTCGGCTGTCTGTGATGTCGATGATTGGGTTGGACCGAGCTTCCGCAGCAGTGTGGGCCGGGCCCGGGTGGCGTGACTTTTTGCGCTGTGTGGGGATTTGAACCGCCGGAGTCGCTGGGTTGGTCAATGCGCCCGGGCTGGCCGGGACACCGGATTGAAAGGGGGGAAATTCGAGATCCAGGGTTAGGGTAGGATAGGGGCGGGTCTGAGATCCGTGTAAGTGAGGTGAAGAACATCATGGCCGGATACAGGTCAGAAACAGTTTCAATCACCGGGTTTTCGAACGGGTTTCCGCTGTTAAATAAATAAAGTTCTTTCTGTTTCTGCCCGGGGCTAGTAAGGCAAACACGTAAAATATTTTCCAGGGCACGCCTAAATTGTTCCCGTTCTTTCCCTCACACTCCCCCTCTTCTTCAACCAAAACAAACACCACAAACGCCTTTGAAATCGTGAAATCACCCAACTTTGCACTTTCAGTTTTCATTTCCAGTTAAAGGCAACTTCTACTGTTTGTGTCAAATCCTGCCTGTGTCACATCACCATGGCTTATTATCCCCAGCCGAGCCTGGGGGTGGCTAATCGCTCGGAACAGCACCCGATCCCCCTGTACGTCGGGGTCAAGGCAGCCCTCAAGCTATTCAGCGGCGACAACACATTCGGTGTCGGTGACATCACTTTAATCACCGGTATGAAAATAACTCCCCCCTCCCAATACCCAAAAGAAAAAGAAAAAAAAAAAAAAAAAAAAAAAAACCCCCAGCCGACTAACTCTTCCCCTCCAGACATCACCATCTCCGACTATTTCAAAATCCGCCACGCGCGAAACCACTCAACCCCTACGTACTACCGCCCCTCCAACACGCCCTCCAATTCCCTCCCTTCTAACCCCGTCCAGGTACCGCCTCCGCCCCTTCGATTCCAGCCGAGGAGTCTTCGACATGTACATCACCCACCCCAGCCCGCAATACGAGTCTCTACATCAGGCTCTATGGGCGCAGATTTCTCTGCAGATTTCCGAGATGGGTTTGGGTGGGAAGTGGAGACGGTTTTGGGCGATGCCGGATGGGTTTTTGGAAGGGAATGGTGGGGAGGAGGAGATGGAGATGGAGATGGAGATGATGGGGGGTGGGGAGCCGGATTATGCGGGGGGGCCGGAGAGGGAGGTGTGGGAGGGGTGGGTGGGGGAGTGGG